ATGATATAGAACGTATAATCCTTGAAAAAAACTAGCAGTCTATAGAATTACACCAATTGGCGTAATTAGTTTCGGTGCGCTATCCTAGTGTCATATCTATCCTGTATTTGTATATAATAATAATGAGTGGAACCTATCGAATGCCATCGGAGGCATTCAAAGAAAACGTTCATTTTAATTAGAACAATTTTGGAATAATAGTTAGCAGTAACAACATTTTCAATAATCTAACACCCTGAAAGCCATCAGGTACTATAAGTACCAAGAAAATAAAATTATGTTAACTGCCACTAGGGAACCATGGTACTTACGCGACATGGTGTAAACAAATTCCATATACTTATCATCCACTAGCGCGTTTTGATTATAAAAATATCTTCATAGAGACGTTCTTTAGGAAATTATTCGACGAAATAAATTTATATCCACAATTTCAAGCAGAACGCTATAAAAAATTTTGAAAGTTTATTACTGTAAGTGCGTTACGTGTGAAGTGATTGTTGACTTAATAAAATATGCCGTAAGTAGATATTTTGATACTATTATACATATAAATGATCGTAAAGAATAATGCTACAATATTTTGTTATAGTTAAGTAGTTTTAGCATTCAAAAGTTGTAATATTTCGCCTCCGAAAAAGTTATTGTTTACGATGGGAACTATGGCTGCCGGTTGATATGTCAAATACAACGAAATGTGTGTATATTTGGACCCAAAATTGTGTATAAATTAAAGAATAGTTCATAATTAGTATCAATCAATATACTTTTTTTTTTTATATAAATTCAAGTGTTATCGATACGAATCTATAACTTTTACAATTATTGTGATCCATACTGGGCGCCTGTTGTTGTCAAATGTCAATGTACTTTGACAAAAGCGGCGGATACCATGACAACATCGCGGGTTGTCATGGTATCCGCCATAATTACCCATAGTTACTAAAGTGTTAGGTCTGCTCTAACTAGGCACGCAAGGTCGCATCTTATCTAGCGGAGAGTAACTCATTTCTTCTAAGTTTTTCTTCATGATTTTAAATAAGTTTTAAATGATTCTGGTATTGTTGGAAAGGAAATTTATTTATTTATTTATTTATTTAAAGTTTTTGCACAAATATTTGTGTACAAAGGCGGACTTAATGCCATCAGCATTATCTCCCAGTGAACTTTGGGGTGGTCGAGAAAAGTTAGGGTAGGTGCATTTATAACAAATTTACAACAACAGAAAAAAATAAAGCAATCAAAAGATTTTCAAATATATAGATTACATATGAAATCTACCAACAAAATACTACACTAATAATATCTGATAAAACTATACAATACCATACATATATATAAAATAAAGTAAACATATTAATGCACGATACATACACACATACATAATGTAAGATATACATACTTACATACTTATATTTTATATATAAATAAATATAATATATACATACTTTATATTATATTTAACGATTAAGAGAATCTGCTGACAGTTTTTTAAGGAAGTGCTCGCGAGTTTTCCTTTTAAATGCGGAGCGACTTTTAGCAGTCTTGATTTTGAGAGGCAGCGCGTTCCACAAAATAATGGTCTGAACAAAGCAAGACGAGTGCATGAAACCAGTACGATGAGAAGGATATTGGAGAAGATGGTTATGTGTCGAGCGAAGATTTTTATGATGGATTGTACTAAGATATTGAAAATGAGGTGATAAATAAGATGGAGTAGAAGAAGAATTTAAAAAAGAATAAAGAGTGGTTAGTGCTCTTAAGGAGCGGCGTTGGGGAATGGGTAACCACTGAAGTTGGGAACGATAGTGAGACACATGGTCATACTTAAGAAGATTGAAAATGAATCGAATGCAGTTATTCAGAAGACGGTCTAGTTTGTTGAGGTGATCTGCATTCAGGTCAAAGTAGCACACGTCGCCATAGTCGATTAAAGGAAGGATTAAGGACTGCACGAGCGTAGCTTTAGTTTTAGATGGTAAAAAAATGTTTAAGTCTGTATAGGCAACGTAGAACACTTGTGACCCTCTGACTGACACTGGCGATTTGGTCTTTCCAGCTCAGGGTCATATCGATAAGCAAACCAAGGTTTTTCACATTCTGGCTTATGGGGATCGTTGTTGAATATTATTGATGGAAGATTGCCTAAATGTACTTGATTTATAATACGACAACTCCCAACAAGAGTTGCCTGACACTTCGAAGGATTGACAGTCAATCCGAATTTGTCAGACCACTTTTTTATAGCATCTAGGTCTCGGTTGATGTTATTGATCACAACGGATAGGCTGTCACAGGTTGCATGAGCATACAGTTGTAAATCGTCAGCATAAAGATGGTACGCACACTGAAGATGAAGAGTAATAAGATTTATGAAAACAGAGAATAAAAGAGGAGAGAGAATTCCGCCTTAAGGAACACCAGTCGTCAAATTAAGCCCGTTTGATGACAATTCACCGACATTAATTGACTGTTGGCGCCCTCGAAGATAGGATGTGAACCATTCCAGCACTTCATCAGAAACCATAATGTGGGAAAGGATGGCTAAAAGAATGTCGATACTGACGGTATTAAAGGCGTTTGAAAAGTCAATTAAGACCATGACTGTGATTTTGGTATTATCCATGGCTGCCCTTATATCGCCAGTCACTTTTAGCAGTGCGGTGGTGGTACTATGTCCTGGCTTAAATCCAGATTGCAGTGGACTAATAAGGTTATTAGTAAAAACAAAATCAGAAAGTTGTTTAAGGACGCAGGACTCAAGTACCTTGGAAACGAAGGGCAGGATACAAATTGGTCTATAATGGGTAGGAAGTGAAGGATTTGGGCACTTTAGAAGTGGACGGACAAGAGCTTTCCGCCATTGGGAGGAAAAAGAACCAGTATCCAAGGAAAAATTAATGATATGGGTATATAAAAGTAATGAAATCACAGGAAGAAGGTAATCAAGGATGGGAATAATCATACGTCGGCTGATTTTATCAAATCCAACTGCATTGGACTTAATAGCAAGGATATTTTTTTTGGTTTCGTCAGAAGACACTGGAGAGAAGTGAAACAGATTAATACTAGAGCGCGACAAATCATTTAAATAAGAAATGGTGTTAATAATCGTCTGATGATCCATTAAAGAAGTAGTGATGAAATGTTTGTTTAAATCCTCTAAAGCGATGGAAGTAGGCAGGTTTGAGATTCGCGACTTGCCAATACCGAGAGTCCCGAGGAATTTCCAGGTATCAGCATGAGAAGACGAAGATATGTTGTCGAGAATATGACGGCGTTTAGCGTTGCGTACCATCTGATTACACCGATTCCTAGCCAATTTGTAGCAGGACCAATTCTCGTCAGAACGGTTCTTTTTAAATTTACGAAACGCACGATCCCTCCGCCTCATAGCCATCCGAACTCCTTCTGTCATCCAAGGAGTCGAATGACGCTTCAGCTTAACTTCCGTGACGGGGGCGTGGACGTCATACAATTCTGTAACTAGACCGTTAAATATATTAACCTTATCATCTATAGTGTTTGCCACCATCACAGGCTTCCACTCGATTTGAGCTGCATCCTTGCACAGTTGTTCTACATTTAACCTAGCGAAAGAACGCACGTGCAGAACTTTGGGCTTAGGTTTAGGAGGCTTCAGGGTGTAGGATAAATATATACAATCGTGGTGAGAAAATCCAGGAGCCAGGTATTGTCCGTGAGAGGAGATCATGGATGGATTGGAAGTAAGGATTAAGTCAAGCCAAGTGTCTTCATCGGAGAGGTTATGGTGGGTGGCATGGAGAGGTAAGATATGAAAACAGCTCGACTCAACTATTCGTAGGAGTTTGCGGGTTCGGGGAGAATCAGGTGATAGGAGATTGGTGTTAAAATCACCCATGACAACGTGGTGGGCATACTCCGAACCCAAAGATTCCAGAACCGGTTCGAAGTCGGTGAAATAGTTGATGTTAGGTGGACAGTACACAACGCCAATAACTATCTTGCAACCTATATTTAATCTAGTCTATTTGTAATTTGCGAACGGCAAGCGTTTTTATCGCCAAAGTCGGAAGCGGTATAATGTACAATGACATTTTCTCGCGCTGACGCTGGCGCCTGTTACCGATTTGAAAACGCGTGGCGCTGGCGTGCCAGTGGATACCAAAGAGAGTGTAATCACTACGTTTACGTTGGTGGATACGAGATAGTTAAAAAGACGTTTTTCTCTAGTTAGTGATTTAACCGGAACCCACTTTTTTGAAGGTTGGTAACAAAGCATCGAAGCATCTACTATTCCTTTGATGTTGTAGGTGTCAATGGGCGTTTGGGAGCAGGCAGAAGGGAATATTTAAGGTGCAGTACAAAGAACAAGCCAATTTGAGAAAACCATAATCTTTTTATTGTCCTCGTTGCTATAGTTATTCAAAGAGAATGTAATCACTACGTTTATCAACATAGTAGTTAATTATCAACATAAGGGTAATGCTAGACCTATGAGAGTAAGGGTGCACAAGATAAAATCGGTGCTACATTATAGCGAATGAGCCGCCACAGGTGGCCTGTTCGTTTACAGACTATTCACATTTAAAAAAATCTAACATTACACGTCGTACGGGGACGTATCGTACGGCGTACATGGCTGAAACGGTCAGAGATTTCGTGTCATTTCTAAATTGTAATATAAGTTTTAAAATTAGCAACCTTAAATCTGAATAATACAAAAACATCTAATTGTTTGTTTAAAATGTGCAGTAACGTATTGTTTAATACTATTACGTATTGTTTAATACTATAACAATAAGTTTAAAGGTGAAAATAAAATGAAGTGAATATCTCATAACATAAATAAATGTTATAGTTATTTTTATTTATCAAGTAATTATTAATGTTTTCTGCTTTAAATTTAAAAATAAATTAGATGGTACCTGTGTTACCTCACTAATTTCAGATGAGTTTAAAAAAAAAATATCACGTTAAGTCACACGAGAGGGCGCTTTGTGTTGAAGTTCGAGATTATGTTCTACCACGGGAAAGTTGTAAATAGTTTTTAGCAAAATTTCGTCTAAACGTATTGAAAATCGTTAGATAAATAAGACGTGATTTAATTGCTTTTAAGTGAGTGTTAAAAGTGATGGGAAACCATAAACTGTGTGCCTTATAAAACAAAATAGCTCTCATCGCATATATACCCCAACGCCATTTTGAGGCGAAATTTTGTATTGTAAGTGCCAAGTATTTTGCAATATTTTCGATTTTCTACTTACTTATGCCATGTTATTGATAAATATCAATTATAGTGGGCGTGAAAGTCATTAGTGCATTTACAAATATTTGGTAGAGTACATAATATGTGACGGTCACCGTGAGTGTGGATGCATAAGAGGTGGGTTGCTGCGACGTCTATCTGGAGCATTTAATTAGATTAAACATTGTTGTACGGCATTTGTCATTATTAAATTGTTTGCTGGTACTATATTTGACATTTTGGGACTTAGGTGAGGAGGCACAGAGATTGTTATTAACATGGCGTGGTCTATGTTATCGGTGGCGTTTCCGATTGTTGCAGATAGCAAGTGGCGCGGAGGATGGCCCGGGACGGCGGGAGTGTTCTAATTAACTGACGGACGCCGCCGGCTTACAGCTGGCGCAAGCAGTATGTTTTTTTTTATGCATACTAAAATCTTACTTCATGATGATTCCCAGTACCTTTTCTTATCTACCAATTTTTCTGTAAAAAATAAATCTCTTAAATATCAGATCACTTTAATATTCTTCAGAATATTTTCTACATTTGAAAACATTATTGTAGAATTTTTTTTAACAAATGTTTATGTGTTATCTAACACCTGTTTTAAACATGCTTATTATTGATTCTAAATTATGAAAGCATACAAAAGTAGTTAGTAATCTTATAGGAAAAACAGGGCATTTGATTTTAATTAATTATGTTATGTAATAAAAATTAAATAGCACATGAGCAGTATTTGTTAATATATTTCATTTCAAGTTAAACATTTTAATTACCATATTTCAAAGAATGTGTTACCATTCGTTTTTATAAATTTTTAAAATTTAGATATATCTCCAGATATTTTTGTTAATCATACACAGATTTATTATAAATACAGATATTAACCATTCAATACACATCTTTAATTTTCTATCCTAATCATTGCTTCGAATCTAAATTAAAATGAAAGTCAATAATACTATATATAGCAATATGGTAATATGGTACCATACATAGTTAAATAAATAACATTAAAAATAGTTCTTATAAAACCACTGATACTCGTATGTCACATTGTTAATAATTATGTATATTAATAACAACTATTGGAGATACATCCTAAAGGATGGCACCGTCGACATCTGTCGAGCTTGTTGCCATCCCGGGGAGTCGCTTCGGCATGTTATCTCCGGTTGTTCCATGCTTTCTAACTCTCATCATACTCTTATCATACATAACACTGCCGTATTACAAGTACTGTCCGGAAGCCTTGCTCGAAATGACCGCACCAGGCTCTATTGGGACTGGCCCATCATCAGGGACAGGACGATTGTTGGAATCTGGGACGGATCGCTCCAAGCTCAAATGCAGAAGGCGGTGCTCCTAGATACCGCCCGCAACGTCCGCCGGTTTCTCTCCCTTTCGCCCTAACTCTCAGCCGTTCAGTCTCCCCTGCCGAAGGCTTCCATCTGGTTGGATCCTGTTTATGTATATGTCATATAATTCTAAATGCTAGCTTTTCAGCAGGGGCCCTATTACTAAGACGCCGCTGTCTGACTTTCTGTCACCAGGCGGTATCGCATTAACCATGATAGTTAGTTGAAATTTTCACAAATGATGTATTTCTGTTGCCGCTATAACAACCCTTGCCAAGTGCGAGACTGACTTGCTCTTAGCTGGATTTTTTTAATAATTATAATTGCTAGCCATAAATGATAGCTTTTTCACTTTCTTCAATATCATCACACACAAAACATATTTTCAAACTGGAATTCCCAGATAATAACATTATAGTAAAATATGTTTCAAAAGTTAATTTTGAATTAAATTGCTTTATAATATTTTGCAATCTATTGTATTGTATACATGTAATAAATAGTTTTAAAATACTTCTGCTCCCTTGATGTGACCATGAATTCTGTCAAGTATTAAAAATTATGTGCTTTTAAATGAAAATACACTTTGATAAAACCCTTAACTAAATTTTCAATGTGTATATTAAAAAAATGTTCTGTTGACTCAATAGCACAGTTGCTAAGCTATTGGCATTGCCGCTGGGGTTGTGGATTTGATTTCGGCAATTAATTGTTGGACTTATTATTTGTTATAATTATATTGGGTACCCTGTCTTGGGTGTTTTTTTGCCAAGTAGTCTTGATGACAGGCAAATGGTTGGTCATAAAAAACCAAGCCAATACAAGATTTCCATCAGTAATTCTAAACTTATTGTTTCCTTAAGGCTACAGTATTCTAAAGTTTGTGTTATGCATATGAGGATAAGTTAAATTCAGATAGTTAAACATTTGAACATCTTTTCATTTTGCAAGTTAATACATTATTGTGAGATCTTATAAGAATCATGTGGGATTAATTTCCCCAAAAATAGTCATAATTACAATATACATTGTTTAGTTTGAAATTGAAACTTGAAGCTCTAAAAACTAAGTAAATAAATTTGTTTTTTTTTCTATATAATATACTATATCATATAGTTTTATTCTATATAATATAGTTATAAGTTTTAAATATGATATATAGTTGGCTAAAATTAGATGCCATTTCTTAAATATTTTGCTGTCTTGTCTTGTCACATTTCATAATTTGACCTAATAAGCAATTAATCATTGATGGCATTGTCTATCTTATTATAACACAAGTTTATGTCACAATCATTTACAGATAAGAATGCCACGTCCTGGCAGCCTTAAGGACCCAGACATTGCAGAATTATTCAGTAAGCATGATCCTGAAAAGATTTTCGAAGACTTGCGAGAGATTGGCCATGGATCCTTTGGTGCAGTCTACTATGCCCGCTGCAATCTCACCAAAGAAATTGTGGCCATCAAGAAGATGTCATACTTGGGGAAACAGAGTGAAGAAAAATGGCAGGATATATTGAAGGAGATAAAGTGAGAATAATTAGCTTCTGTAATTCTCTATATTCATTATCGTAGTTTTTTATGTTTGCAATTAATTCTGAGATTCAGTATAATTTCGTTGTTTGACTAAATTTTAGCTTTTTGTAATACATTTTACTTAAAATCAATTAAGTAGGCTACAAAGGGTAAGTTTTGATCATTCAGTTTTGCTTCGAAGTGTTATGTGATGTTGGACAATTTTTGATGTAATAATTTAGTTCAAATAAATCATGTTTTAGATTTTTGAAGCAGTTGGACCATCCAAACACAATAGAGTACAAGGGTTGTTATAAACGGGAGCACACGGCATGGCTTGTTATGGAGTATTGTGTTGGCTCTGCCTCCGATATTATTGAGGTAATTTGTCTAAGCTTCATCTCTTCTAAGTCTTTTATCTAGAAATGCCTATAGATTTCACATAATGTTACACTGTGATTAGTTTGAAGTAGGATATAATTATGTAGTATTATTTAAAGTACTTTTAAAATTAAACTTTAAAGTACATAAAATTTGTGCTATTTGGATAGATAACAAAGGCAATAAAAACTATACATTTAGAGTTTACAATTTGGATAAAAGATGTACTTTTTAGGGTTCTGTACCTTGAAAGGTAAAAAAAAAAGAACCCTTATAAGATCACTGCCTTGTCACCACTGTTTTTTCAGGAATGGTAAAAAGATATGGCCAAATTTACATTTTCGTGAAAACTTGTTAGTACTTTATTTTTCAACTTTTTTATTTTTCGGAATTTTCCCCTTTATATTTTGTGCTGTAAGACCTTGCTTTTAACAAAAATTGACATTTCTAGATCAACAGGAAATACCCGGTTTCAGGTCGAAAACCTATGTAGTAGCCTGTTGACCTAGAATCACGAAATATGGAAAGGTATAAATTTCAACTTGCTAGGTCTACCCGTTCCTGAGAAAATTGGTGGTGATGATAATTTACCAATTTTATTATGGCGGTATTATGGGTAGGTACGCAAACCTCGGCGAACGAGTTCGACTCGCACTTGACTGGTTTTCTTTATTGAACGTGTATTCTACAAATAAACGAAAGGAAATACAATGAATAATATCAATTAACTACATTTATAAGTCAATCCTATTCGCATAACCAAAAGTCATCTCTATTTGCAATACATTTGTGGATATTTAGTCACAGTCAGCTTGTTCATATATAGTTTTTTTTATAATACACGTATTATTTTTATGTTTCCTAGCGGCAACATATATAGTTTTTAAGGTTTTTTGCTATTAGATGTATTTTGGATTTACTACTAATACTATTTAATTTGTTAAACTTATATTTATATATATTTAATTTCAACCTGTCAGTTTGTTCCGTGACATGCCTATGAGTGAAAATCGTCTCTTTAACTTAACTTAAAATAGAGATATCACAATATTTTTTTTAGATAATATAGACTAAGAAATCATAGTGGTTATATATCGTTATGATAAATTGAAATATTGATAGCAAAAGACATTCCATTATTTGCAGTTGCTGCATTTAGGTTTTAAAAAGAAATATACGAGTATTTATTTGACCACACGTTTACGAATAGTACATTGCCGCTTATTTTTTGATAGTGCAATTACAAAATACAAATATTGAGCAGCTCTTCTTAATATCGATTCGACATCGCAATTTCACATTAATCGTAGTAGAGGTTTGACCGTTCCATTCCCAGCTGTGAGATCATTGAATTCTACGAAGGATACACGAACACTTGATCACTTCGTGAAGCAAGCTTTTGAGTCATCCGGATTTTTATGTCGCGAACGATGATAACGCCGTTAATTCGAAATACTATGAGTGTCGTTCAATTATTATCGAATGATTTCCTTGTTGAGTGATAACATTTAATTCGGTGAAGTTAAATATTTATATTATTTTACGAGCTTTATGAGATCAACGCTACCTGATATTGTCTTTATTGTGTCTTAAATGAGAAAAAAAAACTAAACATTAAAACATATTTTTTTTTTCGTGTGACAAAGTGGCAAACGAGATGGCGGTTCGCCTGACGTTAAGTGATAACCGTCGCCCATGGATATTTGCCACACCCGTAAGGTCGCAGACGCGTTGCCACCTTTTAATAGGGTGGGCCCCGACTACCTCACTCACCAGACGAAACGCAAAAGTGTAACACTTCTACTTCACGCCGGTCTTCTGTGAGGTCGTGGTACTAACCCGGACGGACCTGCCCATTCGTGCAACAGTGGGCACTGGTGCGTGGCCCTACCCCTGTTATCTTGTAACTCTCTTATACGGCGTGTTCGATTTCGAAATTTTTATAGTACTTTGTTATAGGGAGTTCAAAACGTGAATCCATTATAAGTTACTATTTAAACTTCTTCGATTCCGCGGATTTCATTATTCAATTATGTCATTTATGTCTGGTACTATATCATTGAGAGAGTTACGTCTCTTGACCGATGGATTGTTTAAAGATCAATGAAATTTTTCGACCACCCTTTATTATAGAAATTCCTGCGTCTCCCATATAGGCGATTTAATGTAATCAAAACATGTCCGGAAATTTACATCAATGTAACTTTAAAATTAGGAAAAGCAACCCCTTTTTATTTGATTTTTTTTTCCAACTCTGCAACAGTTACCGCGTAGTATATTAGAAAAAGATATTATAGTATATTATGAAAGATTTAAATCGTTTATCATTTTAAATGTTGGATAGGATGTGACGCGATTGCAATTTTTTGATTGAGATTAGAAACATGTTAGATAATATCCATATGTGTTTGGCTTTGTATTACTCTAATATTTTACGCTTCTATCCGGGAAAGATATATAATTTCTTCTAGCATTTGAACTTGTCATTTTAAAATTGACTGCTTAGTGTACTGGGTAATAACCTCTAATCGAAAAAAATATCCTTGGCCATATAGATCTCAATCATCTCGTCTTATGCGAATTGTACACGGATAACATACTAATGATTTTAATCAAATGCCAATCGTATTAAGACTAAAAAAGCATAAATTTATTAAGACTAAAGTTGCATTTAGCAATGGCAACATGTCTCTTTCGAATAATCGCTGTAAAAAGTTATTTAAAACTGTATGTATGCTTTGTAGGATATGTTTTAACTATCGTGTTTAATATTCATATGCACAACGAATAAAATGCAAGAGTCAATATGGTGTGATGTTAGGAAAATAAACACATGCATGAGTTAATGTTTACTAGATGGCTGAAGAAGCTTCACAATTAAAAATAATACATGTCATAATGCATACGCTATCGAGATACAAAGAATGGGTGAGCGACGACCGTGAGAATGCACACCGTATATAGCAGTTTCACTAATGACATTTTAAGGAAATCTGCCCATTGTCACGGACCTTCTCACGCGAGTGAAAGTCAATGAGGCACTGATAATTTTAAGCCCGATTTCACTGTTTAATAACAGAGAATAGCGATTTGCGATCAACAGAAATGTACTGGTGTATATGTTGTATATATGTTCGCAATAAAATTTTGCAATAATAAATCTAATAAAGTATAGGTTTTTATTTGATATCATAGTTTCCACTCATTGTGTCTTTACAAACCTAACTTCACTATTGATTGGTTGCAAGTTGTTAATTCAATATTTTAGTTACAAAATCCCCCACTTACTTGTCGACGATTGTTACGTGAATGCAATGAAATTATCGTTTTTAAAATAAAAAACGTAAACTTTTCTTTGTCTTTGTTTACAAGGATGAAGATATATATTTGGTAAGTTTCACAGACTGGTTACAGTTAAACGAGAGCTTTCGCCAGCTTTCCTTGTGAATGCATTATTAAATTCATTAATATTATTGTCATCCAATATCCATTCGTTTACGGGTCGAATAATGTCCCCAGGTCCACAAGCGACCTCTGCGCGAGGAAGAGATAGCGGCAATATGCGAAGGCGTCGTGTGCGGGCTCTCGTATCTCCACAGCTTGGGCAGGATCCACCGGGACATCAAGGCGGGGAACATATTGCTGACGGAGAACGGAACAGTCAAGCTGGCCGACTTTGGCAGCGCCAGTATCAAGTGCCCGGCCAACAGTTTCGTGGGCACGCCGTACTGGATGGCGCCGGAGGTCATTCTGGCAATGGACGAAGGCCAGTACGACGGGAAGGTTTGTTCCGATGACTATATTAATATAGATGGGAACCTTTAAACTGCCTCACTCCCTCCAAATAGCTAATTATTTCATTCCACGGCCATATGTCGCTATTTTATTACCATTTGATTGGTATTTCAAATTGATATAAAAAACTAGTTTTTTCAATTACATTAGGATTTGCCCTATAGGCCAGTGTGTTCAAGTTATAAATGAAAAGTCTTTTAAGCTGGCTTTAAAATTAGATTTTTATACTTCACAAATTAAAATGTGTTGATGACTGTACTTTTCAGGTAAAGTAAAAATACAGAGCAGGCGATATGTATATTGTAAAGTTTCAGATTGGATAATAAGTTTCTGTAGTATTAGTTTACCAAAATTGTACTGTATCATAGATGAAGAAATGTTATTGTTTCTTGAATTTAGTCCCAACAGCAATAATATTGTACTTGCAGGTGGATGTGTGGTCTCTTGGCATAACATGCATTGAGTTGGCAGAACGCAAACCTCCATACTTCAATATGAATGCTATGTCTGCTTTGTACCACATCGCTCAGAATGACTCGCCGACCCTACAAGTGAGTTGTATTAGTAATTTTTATACGTTCATACAACCAAGCTTTCCATTTAGTTAGCTTGGATATTTGTTGCCTGCAAGTAAGATAAATCGTATATTGCAATTAAAAAAAAAATAGAAAACTTAAAAGTAATTTTCGCCGGTATTTGTGTATAGTATATAATACGTAAACTTTATTGTATTGTTTGCACAGTAAGGTGATTTTTATTTATTAATCTAGAAACAATACATATTGACATTACACTGGAAATACCTTAGACCTAAGTGTCATAACAATTAGCATTCTTTCGTAAGCTGAATGTTTTTATTCTTTATACTTGCAGGCACCTGAATGGACGGATACGTTTCGCTACTTTGTTGAAGCCTGTCTCCAGAAGAACCCTCAAGATCGACCCTCCTCTACTAAGCTGCTGACTCACCCATACATCACCCGGCCCCGTTCACCCAATGTCTTGGTAGATCTAATACAGAGGACGAAGGCCGCTGTTCGGGATCTAGATAACCTCAGCTATAGGAAGATGAAGAAGATATTAATGGTTGACGCAGATAATGAGAGTGCATTTGGTACGTCAATAACTATTTATTTTTTTAACAGTTTCTATACCTTTAAAATAAATTTATTTGTTTAATATTTAGTCTTTAATCTTATTTATAAGCAATTTCAATACTTTATACCAGTGAACACTAATAAAACATAGAAGCTGCATGTTCATACAAGTGATTGTTAATAAATAGCACCACAGTTCTTACTGATAGCTATCACGCGCAGTTGAACAAAAATAAACTTACCCTAAAACAGCCTCGCGGTATGGTTTATACGCCCCGCGCCGTCAAGCTATAGTTTTTTATTCTGTCATTTTTGAGCGACGATAACTTCCATGTTTATTTACGTTCACTGCCTTATATTTTGAATTTAGAACATGTTATAATATCGTATTTTAAGCTTTTAATTTACAATTTTGAATTTTATCTAAAATGATTGAATTACATTATAAATTCAAATATATTTAAAAAAAGTCTGTGTGTGTGTTTTTTGTACACGCGTTAGAAGTTATACTTCTTTGGTGTAACTAAAAAAAAGTCTTTTCAAAAATTTTATCTTTCGCCTTATTCTACGTTTGGAGAAAAAACGACCCAATAGAAAAAAGCTATTTAATACATTGAAAGTTTTATTATAACGCTTTATTTAGTTAAGGCGCTGTATGCAGTAAAAATAGGTTTTTCAAAAAAAAAATTAGCACAATCTATACGCTTTATAACAGCAAAAAAAATATATATGTTAATCTTGATCTTACATTCTATTGGAGCATTGTTTTCAAAACATATTCTCGATATATTTTCTCGATAGAAAATAATCATGAAACTACCTCTAGAAGAGAAATTCAAATAAAAAAATGAACGTAATACATCAAAAAATCTTAATAAAATTAATATCCGTGATGTAGAATATTTTAATAACAAGGAACCTTTTATGAACGCGAAAAAAATAATTGTTTTATAATTTTTTCATTAATTTGTTTATTTTCCACATTTGATGAAATAAAAACAAAATAATTATATGTTTAACAAATTAAAATTGGAAATATGCCACTCACTAAGGTTTGAACTCGGGACCACCGTAATTGTTCACCTACCATGACGCTCGGACCAATAAATAGGCTACGTGATGTCTGCGGATGATAACAAAATTTCGATTCTAATTATAATTGTTGTCGTTTATTATGGAAATTTAGCGATAATTTTTAAATATAATATCATTGAGGAATTAATATAACGTAGTAAGTCTTACACATTTAAAGGATAAATTAAAGATATAAAGTTTAAGAAAATATGTAACAAAAAAGTAGTATTAGTAATTTCTGCCGTGGAGATTATGAAATTGCTTAAAATTTTTATGACCTATTACTTTAAATCAAAATAAATAATTTTTCGTTTATTTATTGTTTTGTTATAAGAAATGTCATTTGCCTTTATTAATTTACTTGACCTTAACATGTATTTTTAATAAATTTTAATCTGTTTCCTGATAATTTAAAATAATAAATAGGAAGATTTTCTAAAATTGTTGATTGCTTCCTCATACTTCAGATTTGTTTGTTTATTTTTACTATTCCTATAATAATTTAAGAGTAAAATACAAGCATGCTCTATAAAAGATTTTATAGGGATCATGTATGTACATTTTCGATAGCCTTCCATGATACTATCGATAGTATCATACGGCCCATCACCACACACACACTAGGTAAAATGAATGACTTGGTCAAGCGGCGCGTCGACGAAACCCGCGCGCTGCGCTTCGCTAAGCGGGGTTACCCCTCCTCCGCTTCCTCATACTTCACCACCTAAATAGTTAAAAATTCACTGCGTTTAGCGCCTTAAATAAAGTTTATTTAAATTTCACCAAATAAATATCGTGAATACAGTTGTCAGTTCTCATGCAAACATACGTACATGTCTAGCTAACTTCAGGGTGTCAGTTTTTCGTGACGGTGTGCGCGCGAGCATCGTATAAAAATTTACTCCCATCATTTTTCCCTAAAAAAAAGCGTGCGAGATTAATAGCAATTAAATAATTTGCAATGAAAACGACATTTGTCTTAACTAAATTGTTATTTTTTCAAAACAAACAGGAGACAGTGAAGAGACTGCAGAGGAGCGATCGGGTGGCGACAGCTCCAAGTCTAATTCCGCGACTTCGGAACATAGTGTTGCAGGAGCGTCCAGCCAAAGCTCCTCGTCAGGCAGTCTGCGACGAAGGCCTCACCCTGTAAATGTCTACTTTACACCGGCCATTTCTTTTCCTGCATTAAAAAATTACTTCCCATTTATTTTTCGGAGTTTTATCCACAAAAAGTTACAATACAAAATTCATTGAAGAAATTTTATACAGGGTGACTTTTCTAAGTGTATCCATTTTTTTAAATTAAATTATAGACATTAATAATGTTATATAAAAAAGATAAATATTTAAAATCACTCGTAAGTAATTAATTACATTCATTTGAACTTATCTCAAAAAGTGCGTGATTTATACGCAACTAATTTATTTTACGCGCGATCATTCATAACTAACACGCACACAAGTTCGTGCACAGTAAAAGTTAGGTATTTATGAATGACTACCGCATTGTCAACACGTTCTGTTTTTTAGGGAATAGAATGGCATTTTTGTTTGGAAAAAAAAACTTTGTTTTTTATTTCAATAAACGATTATGCTACCGAGTCTGTACCTCCTGTGTAAATTTGGGCACTTCTCAAGATCCCTGTATATTAAACCTTTCAGTTACAATTTAGTTCATTATAATAAAATATTATACCTATAATAGTCGTTTTATGTTTCAGCTCAATGCTAACCATCATGGTCAGCATCAACAACAACCACAGTACCAGCAATTTAATCATCAGCACTCTACTCATTCTGCCAGGTACATTACCCCTATTATGCATGATTGAATCATTCACTTTTCACAATTTTCCATTATCCATAGAAAATGACCATTGCTTGTTCCGAATGGACGCAGTGAGTGGTGAATTTTCCGAAACGTTCGCTTTGGATGTCGCTACGCATGTCGCACGCTCCCCATATTATAGAATAGAGACATACGCGCTTCGCACGTTTCGGCTGTCGCCCATCGTTCGCTACACCGCGGCACTAGTGCGCACCCTCTCTTTCAGAGCACCGAAGCGCTGGCCTTACTCATGTTGCTGTTTCGTACGCAGAGAGAGCGAGAGCCCTCTGCCGGCGTCGCACGACGACTACGTGAACAGGGACGCGCTGCGGGACTACGCGAACCGGGACTCGCTGTGCGACGACTACGGCGACGACTACGCGAACCGCGAGGCGATAAGGGAGGCGCAGCGCGAGCGCGACAGGGAGAGGGAGAGGCAGGCGAACGAGTACAGGGAGTACGTGAACGCCCCGTCCACGTGGCAGCAGGACAGCGGCGACGACAACAGGAACACCCAGCGGCGCGCCACGCACAGGGGTGAGTGGCGGTCGCCGCGGAGACGTGTGTCTCGACAATATTTAAAAAAAAAAAACAAGTAAAGTTATAAATAGTAAAGTAAGTAAAGTAAAATTTGATGAGACGCGTTTAGATTTGCGACAGGTCTCGACGAAATGTGACAGATCATATAACGGTGGTAGGGCCACGCAGCCCTGGCTGTTGCACGAATGGGCAGGCTTGTCCGGGTACGTACCACGACCTCACAGAAGACCGGCGTAAAGTGGAAGTATAATGCTTTCGGGTTTCATCTGGTGTGTGAGGTGGCCGGAGCACAATTTTCAAAAGTTTGTCATCGCATCTGCAACCCTCAGGTGTAGCAGATGTCCATGGGCGGCGGTATTCACTTAACATAACGTGAACCGTCTGCTCGTTTGGCACATAAAAAAAAAGAACGCCAGAGATTCGGGGAATCGGGGTTATGGGCAGAGACAGCTATTACTATTTTAATTTCATCAACTTAGTAGTCTCTAGCGTGACAGCTTTTAAGTCGGTTAAATGAAATTTTTATTTGTTGTTTTAGATACTACTTTTCTTTCAAAACCTAATACACTGTACGCCACAGGGATTTGAAATAGGAGTGATTATTATGCAAAGTACAGAATACTTGGCATAACCAGACAATTTATTTTTCAATAGTACGTCTTTTAACATATTGCTTATTTTTATCTAGGTGTGAGCAACAACGTATCAGCGGCGATATCTTTAGTGTCGGAACATGGCGCTAACAACTTCGCCACTATACGAACCACCAGTATTGTCACAAAACAGCAGAAGGAGCACAATCACGTAAGTGTTCATTTGTATTGTACCTGTAATGACTTGTAGTAGATAGCCTTAATTTCTTAAGTACAATTCTGCTTCCAACTTGCTTATTGAATGTTTTATACGAAATTAATTTACGATATCAATCATGGCTAGCTTGAATTTTGAGTCGAAAAATATCAACAATTTGTATACCTGCCCTGCCCATTTGTATATCATTGTATATGTTGATATTTATATTATCGATAAAATGTTTGTTTAAACATATCTGAAATTGGCAAAAGGAGTTTGTCGGATCTTAAAGTTTGAAAATTCCCATCCCCGCTTAACTGACATGCAACAATGTATGTTGTATGTGTAAATGTGTGCCAAAGCTAAGTACATAAGTCGAATACAACCTACGAGCGGTAGTAAATGAAAAACATTGTCCATGTCAAATCTGGCGACCCTATTGGCATAGTTGATAGTGACCCTGTGTCTCGCGCCAGAGGGTATGGGTTCGATTCCCACTATTGGAAAACTTTTGTGTAATGAACATAGTATTCTTCTAGTGTCTGGGTGTTTATATCTATAATATGTATTTGTTTACAAAAGAAAAGTGTGTTTATCAGTTTTCTATTACAAGTACAAGCTTTGCTTAGTTTAGGACTAGATAATGCTGTGTAAAATAATGACCCAAAATAATTATTCATTTATTTATTTAATCATACGAATATGAGCGATATTATCAAAGTAATAAAGTCGTCGTCGCGTTCGCAGGAGACCCACGAGCAGATGTCGGGCTACAAGCGGATGCGGCGCGAGCACCAAGCGGCGCTTTTGAAGTTGGAGGAGCGCTGCAAGGCGGACGTGGATGCCCACAAGGCGCAGCTCGACCGCGAGTACGACGCTCTACTGCAGCAGCTCTCGCGCGACCTCGAACGCCTTCAGGTACGGTCACCGTCAAATTGCTCTACCAATGTGAAGGAAAGATAGAGATAATCAACAGTAGAAATTTGAGTATTTTAGATAATTTTTTTGAAAGTGTATGTATGGTTTTTTAGCTGCTTTAGCGCTTTCTACAAATAGTTGACGAGTTTAACCAATGACAGAACTGATTTCATGGGTTAAATTGAACGATATGTGTTTTTTAATTGCATAGGAATTTAAATTGCATGATTCATTGTTGTATCCTTATGCTTATATATAATGCAGACGAAACACGCTCAAGAATTGGAGCGCAAGCAAAAACAAAACACGGCGGCGGAGAAGAAGCTGATAAAGGACATTACCGCGAGGCAGGAGCAAGAGCGCAAGTCGTTCGAGGCACAGCGTAAACGCGAGTATAAGGCCAACAAGGAGCGCTGGAAAAAGGAACTCAGTATGGATGACGCCACACCCAAGCGACAGAGGGATGCTACTTTACAGTAAGTTACTAACCTTACGACAAATAAGCCCTACCACATCTCAAATTTCGCCGTAAATTTTGTGTTTCACTCTGGAAAAAAATACACTGCAAAAAGTAATCAAGCTTCTGCTGCTTGCATCCCAAGATGGGGTGTAGATCATAGGGACCATAAATTGTACCATGATAATCAGTACCGTGTTTACCATAAGGGCATATTTAGCATAATCAAGAATTGTGAGGCCCTTGAGCGACGTTCATTTAACTATAATCTGATTTGATTGCACTTAAAGTTGGGTTTAAATTTAGAATTGCACCTGGCTCTATAACAGTTGATACATTTGAAGGCTCAAATTATAGAAATTTTACTAATAAAATGTTTGCGATGCTTGTAGATCACAAAAGGACAACCTGAAACAGGCTGAGGAGGCTGAGCAGGCGCGTCTTGTGCGATCTCAGCGCGAGTACCTAGAACTAGAGCTGAGGCGCTTCCGTCGCCGCCGCATGCTAGCCACACATCACAAGGAGCAGGAGTTGCTCAGGGAGGTATGTTGAAACTATTGTTTCCGCTGTTAATGTTAATAAAATCTTAACTTCTCATTGGAATTGATGATTACATTTAAAACTAAAATATATTACATTAGTGTTGTTACAAATTATCCTGCCACGTGCAAGCCTAGTTTTAACTTATATGCAATGCGTCCAGGAAGTCCGCAATAGTCGGCCAAATTTGTAGTCGGCATGTGGCTACATAGTCGTTGCATACAATACATTTTCGTTGTCCAGTTATTATGCATTATATTTAATAGTATAGAATTTTTATAAGACATTTATTTAAGATTTCTATATTGTAACCGTTGTCATGCTATTGTAAATTGTATTCTTTTTTTAATTAATTCATTATTGTAACAATTTGAAATTAAATACTTTCAGGAGCTTAACAAGAGGCAGCAGCAGCTGGAACAAGCTCACGCGATGCTCTTGCGTCATCATGAGAAAACGCAAGAGTTAGAATATAGGCAGCAGAAGGGAGTGCATGCATTAAGGTAATCAAATGGGTAAAACAGAAAAATCTGTTGTAGCACCAATATATATAAGTAGTCTTATTATAATGTCTTGTTATTATTTCAATTGCATATTGTAGAAATTTACGGAAAATTTTGGTTTAGTAATAATTTTGAAAATTGATTTAGTTATGTTTTATTCATTATTGTACACTATTAACTGCGGTATCGAATCCGAATATCAATTTAATTTGGACTCTTTGTTGGTTCCAGGGAGGAACAGCTTGCCAACCAACACTCCACTGAGTTGGCCAATCAGCGGGACTACATGCAGCGGCAAGAACACGATCTGCGCAAGAAACATGCTTTACAGCTCAAACAACAACCCAAAAGTCTTAAGGTTCGTATTGCGCAGTGAAAATGTGTTTGTGTGTTTGATTTAAGAGATTGATGGCGATTAATATAATTAGTGTCCTTTCTCATTTACAGTTTATAAATATAATTGTTTACAATTATCCATGCTATTGATATATCACTAAGATTGTTTAGTGGCAAAGTACACTCATGAATATAGTTTGTTTGATGTTGACTGAAATTTGAAACTTGTGTATACAGAACACTTAATGGGTTATTATGATTCTAGAATATATAAAATACATTTGTACACATAAAACATAAAATTACGACACACCAGCTCACATTATTTATAGCATTTGTGATGTAAAAAAGCCTTTGTTTCTGTCTAAAATACAGCTAAAAGAATGTATAGATTTGATTGCGAGTTTTACTGATAATGATGAGTGAGCAAAATTATAACTTGTCTTTATCTTTTACAGCAAAAAGAGATGCAAATCCGCAAGCAGTTCCGTGAGACATGCAAAATACAGACTCGCCAATATAAGGCACTGAAAGCGCAAATATTGCAAATGACCCCCAAGGTACATATTTTGTATGAAACTGACGTGTAATGGTTCATTTACTTTATTCAACATGTACAAATAATGCTAAACCAATGATGTTTTGTAAGTTCTTTTTCTTGTCAATCAAAATAAATGGTACATAAGACAAGTGTATTTGCTTATAACCCTATTAAGCAAATGTGTTGTCCACACAATCACATTGAATTGTGCACTATTTTATTTTCTCACATGCAAAGCCTCCATCGACAGAACAAATGAAATACATAACATTAAAAAATGCCACTGTAATTTACAGGAACAACAGAAAGAGGTGATAAAGGCGTTGAAAGATGAGAAGCGACGCAAGTTAGTGAAGCTAGGCGAACAATACGACCTGAGCATCACTGACATGCTGCAGAAGCAAACCATCAAACTTGACGAAAGCCAAATGGTAATTTTTAATAGCATTGCATTTTACTGTTGTAGGGCCTGACAACAGTCTTCACTGTTGGGCAGAATCCATCCGAGGAAGCACCATGTGAAATTTTTATTTGTAAACGCACCCACGACATGGGAGAGTTCCTAAAGTGTAGCAAAATTTTCAAAGTTTGACCAAAAAACTATATGTTCCTAAATGTAACCTAAATATATATAAAAAGTATGCTTACTTTATGTCCATTACTTTGAACAATAAATTACAGTTAGAAATTAAACAATTGCCCCTTGCATCGTTTAAGATGTAAATAACGTGATGGCTCCTAGATAAAATGGTTTATAATATAATATAAATGACTATTTGTTATGTTTGTTATGTTGTAATACTGTAATAATTTGACATAGATATGTAATATCCATATAATAATTTTAATATTTTCATGGAATAATTTACTATGGTTAAATGTTTTAATGTGAATAATCGATTATGTTTTAAATGTTTTAATGTAAATAATTTTATATCAAATTGCCAATTGCATGCTGAAGTCAGCTGAATATGTTGCACCAAATTATTATAATTAAGATCACAATGTACTACCATATTCTGGCAATAAAGACATTCATTCATTCATTAATTCAAAGAAAAAAATAACAATGTAGAAGTAAAGTACATATAAAGTACTTAGTTATAACATAAAAAAAAAAACAAACTAATATTAATAGATGGAGTGCCAGCAGAAGAAGATGCAGCTTGAGCACGAGCTCGATATGCTGACGGCGTACCAGAGCAAGAGCAAGATGCAGGCAGAGGCGCAAAGGAACCGTGAGCGCCGCGAGCTAGAGGAGAGAGTTGCCGTGCGCCGCGCCCTTTTAGAGCAAAAGGTGACGTCATATCCTGTGCCGCCTTACATTCACTGCGGTAAAGCCACAAATCAGCTTCCACACTGGGGAATCACGTAAAGTTGAAGTTTTTATTTCGTCTGTTGCGGACTCAGAGGTGGTGAGTGAACATTTAACATGCATGTAAAAAGGAAATGACAAGAACTTATATTAACGTAAAATTTTTTTTTATGAGACAAAGAGGCAAATGAGCTGGGGGTTCACCTGATGTTAAGTGATATCTGCCGCCCATGGACATTTGCAACTCCCGTAAGGTTGCAAATGCATTGCCACCTATAAATAAAGTGGGCCCCAGCTACCTCACTCACCAGACGAAACGCAGAAGTGTAACACTTACTTTACGCCCCTCTTCTGGGGTTGTGGTACTTACCGAGATGGACCATGGACCATGCAAAGTGAACACTGTTTTGAGGTCCTGCAGTAAAGAAAGTAAAGATTCTTATATTAAAAATTGCTTTTAGCCATATCGAGTGGTTTATATTACATAAGTTATATATAAATATCCCGCAATAATTGCATATGACACCAGTGACGCCGTTGCTAAGCTATTTGCATCACCGCTGGGGTCGAGGATTCGATTCACCAAAGAGACAAGTATTTGTGTGACACACAGATAACTATTCCTGACCTGGTTGTTTGTTTTCTAAGGACGGTTGACGTCTGGAAAGCGGCATTACTCACATGTTGTGTCGACCCCACCTAGGTGATGATGATGCTGAATAAGTGCTAGATACCTGGTTAAAGAGAATTGCAATTTTATGTCATAATAACATTTCACTGTTATTGTCAGATGGAGTCTGAGTGCGCTCAGTTCATGGCCGAGCGGGCAGAGAGGACCCGGCTGATGCACGAAAGGCACGAGCAAGAGCTCGCCCACTTCGACAACGAGAGTGCCCGTCTCGGCTTCAGGTACATTAATAAATAAATATGCCAAAGCATTTTTAAAGCACACCATAATGTATTTGAAGTATCTGTAATTATTTAAAACATCAAATATGATACTGTATTCGTAACTTGGACGATCAACAATTGTGTACTGCATGAACATGAGGGATTTTGTATTGTTTTAGACACAATATTAATGCCCTAACAATTACGTGGTCGTCAGTTTTGCCATTTTATTTCGTGTAAATTTTAATTTTTGAGTATAAACAATTTATCTCATAAAAATTACTGATAATTAGTTATAATATAATTAGCTATCTAATAAAATTGTTACTGGATTGTATCCAGTATAATTAGCTAAGGTAATGGATTTCAGTAGTAGTTAGGCACACAAAAAGTTATCCAGTTTTCTGAACTACAAATTATATTGAGTATCAAAAATTGCTGCCTGCTGCCACGGCCTTGATGGGTAAAACTGTGAATGGCGTTATAGTTACATATATTCAATTTAATGGATTTTTTTTTTCTATTGCCAGCTGATGATAAGTGGTTATAAAGCTGTAGACGTTAAACACAATCAGGTAAAACCTGTAAAAAGAGTAACAATAGAACAACTAAACATTAAGACAATTTTTAATCATAATATTATTTTTTTTTCTTCTCTTATCCTACATATCAATACATCAGGGCGTAAAACGGGACTACGTGAAACATCGAAAATGAAACATCAAATGTGCTAAAGTCTATAAAGCAGTTTTGTGTGTATGTTAAGTGAAAACCACCGCCCATGGGCACTTACAACACCCATTGGGTTGTAAATGCATTTCCACCTTTCAATAAATAATGTGGACCCCAGTCACCTCACTCACCAGACTAACTGCAGAAGTATAACACTCCCGCTTCAAGCTAGTCTCTTGTGAGGATGCTTTGGTAGTTCCCCGGACGAGTCTACCCATTTGTGCAACAGCGAAGACTGTTGCTTCGCTCAGATGGTGTTTACTTATGCCCGGTTCCTATATTCTACGAACGGCCGTTAGTTACATAGCTTCGTAACTTTCTAGTAGAAAGAACCGGGCGTACACGCCTTTTGTCTACAAGTTGTTGTGAATGTCTCAAAGGTACGTTACTAACGGCCGTTCGTTGAATATAGGAGCCGGCCATTAATGTGTTTTATGCCCGCAGCGCTATGGCGATCGCGGAAGGCAGCCGGGAGGGCTACGGCGAGGAGGAGCAGTCTTTGTCCGGTTCGATGCTGTCGCTGGCGCACAGCAACTCGTCGGCCAGCTTTCCGGCCGGCTCGCTCTAACGCTCGCCCCACAGCGGCCGCACCGTCGTTGCTATCCGCACGAGTCGCGCACTAATCCGTGCCACGTACGCGCTTTCATTTGTCGTTAGCTGAATTGGCGTGCCGGGGAGTCCCCGGAGGTGGGAAGCGCGACGTAACAGCTCGCGTCACGTTACGTTTCGCGAAGGTGAACCGAATGCTCTCCTTACAGACCAGTGAACATGCTTCCAATGCAAGAGCCTTTGAATGCGTTAAAAGAAATATCCCGCACATCGCATGATTGAAATTCGACCAATGAGAAAGCGCCCTCAATGTGGCGACACGTTTACCTCTATTAGTACTAATTTGCTTGTTTCGCGCGTAACGGGCCAAGTTGAAGTTATCCAGGACACCACACTGCCGTAGTTTTGCCGTTATAGTTGTCGGTTTATTTATATTTTATTTATATTAATATGTAAATTGACCGTTTTGTCATATATACATAACGGTAAATATTTGTAACTTTACGAAGAACATGCGTCGTTATTTATTACTACAACAATTTTTCGCTTTATATCTATTAAACCAATGTTTTATCCACGTCATGTATTGGTATTGCAGTATTTCACCCTACATCCTTATAATCTTTTTCAAAACGTCACAGTTTACATTTCCTGCCGCTGCTTATTTACTCAAACATGTTGAAAGTCAAAACTATTAGTGTGCGTGTTCCATTCTGGATAACTGCATATTTCCAAAAACAAAACTGATTGATTGTTTTTGTTACAAGACTTAAAAAATATATATATATATATATACTATACAAGGGTTTACAGCCTAAATTATGACACTTAGTACGATAATTAACTAAGACAATATATACATATGTAAATTAATAATTAACTAACTCTATATGACAGATATGAGCAAGGGCTCTATGATAAGAATTTACTGGTGCACTCTCAAATATATTAACCACACCATTGGGTAAAGCTTAGTTATTCCATTCTATTTACTGAGACTGCAAAGCCCTCCCGCGTACGTAAACTACAAATCGATTATACGATGATACGCAATTTTTGGGAAATTTCAATTGTATTTTATTAATCTAACTTTTATTATATTTTTTTATTTGTTGATCGTCTTCCAAATGTACGACAGTATTTGTGTAGCCAATTAATGAGTTTAGAGGGGGGAGGGGGGCATTTCCTATTCTATTAAAGTTTTAAGTTTATTGCACTCCATAATTAATTATTTATCTCTAATATTGATGCATAAGTGTCTTGTGTTTCTCTTATTACGCAAAAGATTTATGAAAATAATGGCCTGATAATTAAAAAAAAATGTTTACGTACAGCATGTGGGTGATTCAATTTTATGCTTGAAATGTTCTTTTTACTGGATAACTGTATTTGTATATCAATGAGAATAGTCAGAGCGTTTGTGAACACAGGATGGTGTTTGAATTAGGAAACAATGACGTAAGGATGAGATGCTTTTTATTAGAATTTTCTCTTCACGGGACTAAATATATTTATGTTTTATCGCCTCTGCTAATACGCCACAAGTTCGAAATGTGAACGATTGATTTTTAATAATATTTTGCTCATGAATGGGTCGTTTATGAGAACCTGTTTGTATTAGCAGAGCGCGGAAAACTAATCCAATGGTTGGCAGTAATTTAGTACTCCTGGCCGTTCTTGTATTATAACATAGTTTACGCTAAGTTTCCATAGTGTTTGTATTAATTAATATCCTTACGAACGATTCGAAGAGCGAAACAAATTACGAACACAAAATATATTTCTAAGGTGGACTTAGTAGGCGGGGTCTCTTCCTGATATTTACGCTTAAGATGTTTGACAAATGGCATTATTTCCGCCTACCGCTTCGTCCCGCGCGCCTCCCCCGAGCTGAAACTATTATTTGATAACATAATTTTAGATAGTCAAAATTTCTAATATTCATATCATTAGTTTATTTTAGGAACAATTTATTGTTAGAAGTTTGTTTTAAAAAAAAAAAACTTTACGACTGATCGATACGTTTATCCATTGGCCTAGAGATTGCGTTCGTGTAATAAATGTTTTTTGTAATCGTATCAACAACGCGGCTAAAAGCGTTGTGGACCATTTTTATTGTGTAAACGACTAACACGCTTTATTAAATCTTAATATTGACAAGAAGAAAATCAGGTGCTCTAGTATTTGTAACCAACTGCCTATGTTATGTTTTGTAAATATAAATTATATATATTGTGTATCAGGGCGCGAGAACACCATTCGCATAAATTGTTACGAGGCGCGGGGGCCGGGCGTTATGTATATAAAGAACAATAATATATAATTAACTATATTAATAGTTTGTTACTTTTGTAAGGTACGAGTGTGGGTGTGTAAATTGCGAGAGCGACGCGATAAAGGCCCATCTGGGTCCAACCTGTGCTATTTTCTTTATTTAGTCTTCTAATACACTATTGTATTGTCTACTAAGCTTACCAGTCATGTATGTATAGACAATTGCATATTATTTAATTTAACGCCGATTATAGTCATAAATATCCAAATTTAGTTAATGCTATTATTAAAAAAATATTTTTACTATTTTTATTAACCATACTATCTTTCTATAATCACATTGCTTGTAAGCATCACACGATGTGATCGTTTTGTATTATTTGAGCCTGTTAGTGGTTAAATGTTTAAGTATTTTCAAACTTCGACACCTAAGCTAATTGTAGATGTAAAATTATATGAACTGTTGGACAAATAACAATCGTTTTCGCGCAACGATCGGTTGCGCATTGGCAAATGCTTTTACACAACGTGTAAAATAAATTGGGCACTGTGTAGCTGAAATGTAACGAGATCAAACTAACCTCCACTCTGTCTTTCCCTCGACTGACCAAGTAAATGACAATAATCTCTAGACAGCCTAACTAGACTCGTCAACTTGTCTGTACTGTGCGTGATTAATAGGCAGTTGTGAGTGCAGCGGTTAGCGGTCGTCTTAAGATGGTAGGATGCTTTAACATGTTTAAAATTCCATCGTCTATAAAAGAATTAGAATTAAAGGAAGCTTAAGGAAGCAAAATATAACTAATTTTAATCCATACAATAAAATAAGACTATTGAATGTGTTTAGCCATGCCCTTTTAATTAATTGATATTACTTCTTCCATAATCATGTCTTATAAAAAAAAGCATTATTCTGAAGAAAAGCACAAGCACTATTGAAGATGGCTGAAACATAAACAAATATTTACAATGGATTCGATTATTTTCTATAGACAAACCACCCGCTGCTCTCTAAAAAATCGGTAAGCAACATCTGGCGACGATGCACGATGGAATTGAACTGTATGCTGTAATTTCGCTTGCGTGCAGTAGATGGTCGGTACTTGTTAGGCGCGTTCGCGTTGCTTCCAACTCAGTAGATCTCGACCCGTAACCGGGGCATGTATTGAAAATATATAAATATAACCAAAGTCGCGTTATTTAGTCTAAATTTAGGCATGTCCAATTGGAAAATGTTGATTGCCCCCCTTTACTCATGAAAAAACTGCGCGGCACCGACAGGTCGAGATTAGTACGCAGTAGAAGCTATTTTTCCGGTTCCAATTTCCCACCACTCGCTATGTATTAGTAATTAGTATGTAACAGTCACACAACTGTCAGGAGCAATCAAATGTTTACAATATAGAAGTACCAAACTCGTAGTTAGCGATCACGTATTATGTACATTGTAACTAAATAATTTTTATATTTTACCATTGTATAGAGGTTTATGAGCGTGAGGTAGGGTAGTTAGCAATGGAGGTGCAACCCACATGCGGCGTTTCAGCATCGTCGTTGTTGTTTTCTTTTATTTCATTTTGTTATATATTTAAATAACACAATCGACTTGTAGTTTTAATAATTATTATCATTAATTATTATATTGTAATATAATCTTATTAATGAAAAAAATCAAACTGAAAAATAAATAAATAGAAAGGAAACATTAACGTGTAATTATTTCGAATGTCCATTAGTGTGGTTTTTTTGGAAATTAAACACTGATTCAACTGCCTGAAAAATCTACTTCATTTATTCATATTACTCCAACATAATATATCTTATGAACGATGTCGAGTCGCAAATATAGTTCGTACAAAAAATACGGCTTATCTTTGAAAAGCCAATATAAATTATTATCGAAATAGCTACACAGCATAACATGTTATTAATAACAATGATATAAAATGATAAGAAATAAAATACATGTTCTGATATAGATTCAGTTTTTCTTCTTTTTATAATAATATTTTAATATAAATGATTTTATTATTCTTAAATGCCTACAATAACATAAAAAAAGGTAATAGTGATTTTTAATGTGTAAATCGAAAGCTTAAATGAAGTCAGTTAAAAAATTACATAATCTTGCCTTAACACTTACTTTCACTCATGCATTATTAGAAAAAAAATATATTGCTAAAATATTTAAAAGGATAAAATAGATAAACGCCCAAAGGCATTTAATGCACCTCTGTTGCAGGGTTTTGTACATTACAAGCCTTAATTATGAAGTTACATACTGGGTGAATTTCCTTGATGCATAAACATTATCTGGTCAATGCAATATCTAAAACGATTTAGTTCACGTTACACGATTCTTTTCTATTGTTTATTTAATACCAATTACTTGGTTATTTTCCCATTAAGATATTGTTGGGCATAAAAATTAATGCTGCCCTGGACGAGCCTGTCCATTGAATGCATCAGAAGCTACTTTGCATAACATTATTTAGCGATCAATTGGAAAGTTCATTAATAACCTAGAATCTTAGTAAAGCATATCTCTGAAAGCGCTTAGAGTTGCATGCTGTATTTAATCAGTGATATGTCGTGTAACTGGTAAATCTGTCAATAGGCACTTAGTTGTATCCTTATTAGGCTATTAAAATATATAGCAGCTTTAATTGTTTCTGTGAATTTAAGACTACATAAATTAATCATCATTTGTGTTCATCTCCTGGGCAGAGGGCTGGCGACTACAATGGCATTGGTGTTATATTTTAGTGATCTTTATATTCTACGTATCTACGGAGATCGAGACCCAGCGCCCAGTGGATAATATGAGGCGATTTACTGAGTGGGCGAAAACTCCGTGGGTTCGAGTATGCGGCAGTGCATCTCGCGAATTAGCGGCACAGTGTAGGCGACGCACTCATCCCAGCCTGGATTACGCCACGTGCTCTCGCGGGTCTCCCGGCGGGCTTGTAGATTTTTGTAGCCTGTGAATTGTCAAATAGGTTTTTACAAATACTAAGCTAGGCTAATATTATTTAGGTTCTAAACCCTAGTTGTAGTAGGTACTAAATTTCTGATTGAGCCAATTACTACATCCATATGTAATAAGTCAGAAAGCTGATAACTCATTGGTACGCGCCTCTGGGATTCTCATCCGCGACTTTTGATATCCAAGTTCAAAGCCATAAACAAGCGATCACGTTTAAATAATACTAATTTAATGTATGAGTATTATTTATCAGTCGGGATTATGTCCCCTCACTTTTGCAATTGACTATTAATTTGATATAAAAAAGCCACACACACTTTCTGAATGGAATACAAAAATACAAGAAATTCTCACACACAAATACTTTTGATCTTTTGAATCTTTCACGGGTGTAGTAGACATCCATAGTGGTGAGATCACTTAACAAAGACCTTAAAAGAGCTGTGGCTTGCCAACTTTTCACATAAAGAAAAAATTAATTTCAGTTATGCAAATATTTCATTGGAATGAGAGGAGTAAGGAATATATGAATGCATCCATATTATTGATCTTCCTTCTAGTATTGCCATGTCTTATTTTGAACTAGTTACTAACGTAACATCCAAGGTTACTAGCACAACAACATTAATAGTAACTCTACTTTCATGTTATTTTATACTTATATGTTAATAAAATAATGTCAATATAATATAGAAAAACTTACACCAAATATGATGCACGTTATAGAGACGACCAATCTGCGAGAAGTAACCGGCGAAAGCTTCGTTCTGCGAGCGACGGTAAGTTAGACCCCGTGCCCAGTTATTGCCCCACTCGATCATAGTTCCAGGCTTTAGACTGAACACATTAATAAAATCTTTAATATATTAGTGGTAAGAGACCAAACCACACATACTGTCAAATTGGCACTATAAGGTCATTCTTATAATAATCATTTCTTATAATAATCATTTCACCTAGTTTAGGCCACAGTTGGATGCTAGATACATAAATAGATAGTTCTACACATATTCCAAAGAAGCAATATGAATAATAAAATAAAGTGAAATTTTAATTTTATTTTTTGCTGGATGTGTAAGGCCATATAATTATATTTTCATGATGGATGATGCTTGATGTGGAATGTAACATATACATGGATCATTAAATTACATATATTTTTAAATAATGTACAAATTTTTCAAATTGAACCCTGGACCTGGAAATCACACATCACATAAAAACTTGCAAAACTCATTCTAAAGTCCAAACATATCTTTTAATACACATTTAATAAAAAATTAATGTAATGATATAATATATAGATGTTAGTGCGCCAAAACCGAGGCAATTACAGCAATTGGTGTAATTTCTCTTCTGATTGATCTGATTCTAAAGCCAGCATATGTCAAATGCAACTCCTATCTCTTTCCGTATTACGTATAGACTGCTATTTCTTTCCATATCATGCTTTCTGCATCAAATGTCACAGTCACATATATATATCATATAATAATGTAAAGCGGAATAATTTTTAAACAACATACAGTACGGACATGTGTCATCTTTTACCATCATTGCACACCTGTATGATCTTATCTCGTAAATATTGTTAGGTTCGCGTGGTTCACCATTAGGCCAGAAGCTAAAGGCCAGTAGGTACTGCAAATGTCTGGAACGTACAAAGTTGCCCCGCTCTTTTTCCAATGCCCGGTACTCCTGGAAATCCATTAAACTTATTTATTATTTTTGATACATTTACTGTTTTTATTACTGTATAATTCATATTTTGTATCCATGAATGAAATATAATTTTGATAAATATAATTCATGATTTTTAAATGCAATTTTATTTTAAATGATTTATTTCATAGAATACACAAAAGATCAATTAATCTGCTAAAAGAACATAGTATGGCTAAAATGTTTGATATTATAAATAAATACAACAAAAATAAAATTGTTTAGATAGGTACTACAATAGAAACATACAACAAAAGCAAACTGCATTTTATATGATAACAACAAAATCAAATATGAAATATTGTTAAAATGTTACATAGTACATAGTACATATTATGATGTACTTTATCAATTTAAGTCATTATATAATTCAGGTTTAATTATTTCAAGACATAAGCTATTTATATTTAAGCAATTATGTAGAGTGAAAGTATGATTATGACCACACAAATATGCACATACTGTGTTTATGCAAAAAGGTATTTGGGTACAGAGATAAAATAAATTTCTGCTATTCACAATTCTCAGACACTTCTCGTTTTTTCTTCTTCTACACATTTATCAGATTTTAGTGGCTGTTAATGTCTTAACACTCATCACTTGTTCCTGTTTTCACTTTTATAATATAAAAATTCTTATTGTCATTCGTACTTTAATCATCCTTTACACACATCCAAATAGAAATGAAAAAAAAAAAAAGTACTTATATGAATATTTCATACATTACATTTTTGAGGTCATAATTTTTTTATCATTACAAATTTTACTTTTTAATCCCCTAAATATTATTTTGAATTAATTCATCTATCATAAGTTAACTTGCTTAATACCCCAAGAAGACTGGTAAAGAATTTAAATTGTTGTTAAGACCCCCCTTTGAAGCACCATTTAAGGTTTTGCAATAAAGGATAAATAAATAAAATACATTAACAAATACATACCACTATTTAATTTTGACTGAAATAATATAAGCCCCATTTAATTTTAGCTGAATGCAGGAAATAAGGTAATTTTTGTTTTATATCATTGTCTTAAGCCCTAAACATGTAAGACAGGGTGGACCAAACCGGAAATGGCAATGGCCTGAAGGAAGGTTTTTAATTGATTTCACAATGCTTGTTGCTGAACTACTGGACAATTTTAGAATTGCTATACAATCTTACACTTGTATGTAAAAGATTTAAGTAGTTATATTGGCAGCTAGTTTATTTTTCCAATATGTCAATAATACAAGTTCTTATAGTGATAAAAAACTTACTGGATTTTCCTTAAATAAAATTTTTGCCTTGTCAATTTTCTCAAAACCGCCTACATAGCGCCAGAGATGCAGCGCTTGGTCCATATCACCCACTGACACTGTCCATGATCCTACAAGCTCACAACCAAGCTCTGCTTTTCTTGATGTCACAAAATCAACAGTGTTTTTTTTTTTTTTTTTTTTTTTTTTTTTTTTTTTTTTTTTTTTTTTTTTTTTTTTTTTTTTTTTTTGGGGGGGGGGGGGGGGGTTTTTTTTTTTTTTTTTTTTTTTTTTTTGGGGGGGGGGATGTTTTACTGTAAATAAAACATTGTATTAATTTACAATTAAAAATAATTATTTGTTTTGAATACAAATGCATGTAAACCCTTATTTGTGTACATATAACATTATAATTTATAAAAATGCAAACAATATATAAAATTATATTTCAATCTCTAGGTTCTTTTGATTGCTTGAAGTGAATGGAATGCTAGTTATGTCCGTCCATAAGCTGTTACTTGACTTAATATTCAAATTTCATTTGTATATACCTGTACCTCAGAGGCATATAATAGTAACTCCACATTTCAAAATATTTTTTCTTACACCATTAAAATCGCAAGAACAAATTCTACACAATAGTATAAAGTATTAAGTCCTACAATGCCTAATTAATAAAATATCTCATCATATATGACATTATAATCCATTATGCATTCAAGGATTAACTCACACATTTTTGCCTCTCCTGTAAAATTTGTGTTCTGTCACATGCTGTTTACCTCTGAGGTACTTTAATATTGTGTTTGGCCATCATATAAAAAGTTTGGCCATAAAACAACAATAAAGTAAGAGTTAATAATGAAAATCCCTTTTAAATAGACTTTAACCTACAAGTCTTAAAGGTCAGGGTTTGTTGACCGATAAAACTTTGTACACAATTTTATATTGTTGAGTCAAATTAAATTTGTCGATTCTATTTGGGGATTGTTGCATAACCACAAATATTTTGGCGGCTATCTGCCATAATTCCTAACTTACAACATATGAATTTTCAAACATACTAGTTTTTCAAATATTTATCCACAGAGTCGGGGCGAATGTTATGTGTATGAAGAGCGTATACAATTTCCTTGTCACTAAGCATACGACTGTGTGACTCTTTTGTTGGTTCTATCCTTCGTACCAACAACTTCGAAAGCCATCCATCATCAGCGTTTAGATAAGAGTTTGTTGTTGAAATGAACCTACAAAATAATTAAATTAATAATTCCAAAATTAAACTGGTCTATTACAAATAAATAACAGAATAAAACTTTTGTTTACCTTGAATTCTTAGGAATTGTGGAACTAATATTTAAAATTCTGTTCACAGAATTCATTCTGATAGTAAAACAGAATCGATCGAAATGGAATGAAAACCTTTTAATGATCAATTACCGTCCGAAGCCGCTGATACTTGCTTGTTATCAATTCATTTGACAAAATCACTTGAAGGTTATCTTGAAAATAGATTTCGGCTGTGCAGAGACATCTAGCGAAGAAACTCAAATATTGATAACATATGTTTTCATTTGACAGAAATTCTTATCATTTGGGTTCCCTTACAATTGATATTATTTAAAAAAAATACATGTAAATTAAATTATTATTTTTTCCATTTTTATTTAATTTTTTCCTTGCCAGTTGAAATCCATTATTATAGAATGTAAATTTAGCTGTTTAAATTGTTCACTGGAGCAAACATCTAAAAAAAATTTAGTTTCTTTTGACCCATTTGAGTCATTATCGCCATGTTGTTGTAGGGATTCGTTATTGGATGGCGGAGGGAGGGATGTTTTAACGCGTACATTAATTCGTCGTTGGCTTTGTTGTCGAAATCGACGAAGTATTTGATTTTAAATCTGTTTTAGATCATTGAAGGGAATTTGCGCGAATGGGAGAAGCATATTTCATTCTAGGAATTATACAATCATGTTTTATAATGGTAAACTCCCCATCTTAGTGTAGTTTTACTAGAAGCTAAACGTGTTAATTAACTGTTAGAACGAACTCGAGTTTTTTGTCTGGCGTAACGTCTAGATATTGTGCCCTTCTTTCCCATGGAATGGGCTTAGTTTAATAATTGAACGGGAGGAAGTTTAGAAAAACTCGGCGCTAGTCTGAATAAGAATAAAATTCATCTAGGGCGTTAAATGCAGATTGAAAGCGGATGATAATCCATATTTTGTTGCGATTAGTCCTGTGTAGGGTTGTGTCGTCGGCATAATATAGTGCCAGGTCCTTCTAGCGGATCCAGGGATATCGCTAGCATATAGGGAGTGCAGAGTCGTAGATAACACCGAATTCTGTGGTACGCCCGCTTACCGGCTGGAATAGGGCTCCATCTTCTAGACATGAGGTAGCTTACTTTATGTTTGGTAAGTATAAATGTGTCTTCTAGGCGTGGGTCCGTTGATTTAATTGTTCATTGAAGTAGCCAAAGATCTATTGTCCACTTCCTAGTCCTCCTTGCGCAACGAAACGGGGTACAAGGTTTGCTTGCTAGACGACCATGTTAGCTCATGGTTGCTTTCTAAGCATTTAGTCACCTCAATTCCGTGTAATTCTTTGCTGCTATCTAATATAGTCAGAGGAGGCCTTGGGCATACGGTCTTTAATTTAAAATTCCATACTAAATGCCAAAAGCAGGGTGTGACAGTGAGATATATGAGACCTCCCGGAACAGCCATCTAAGACTCCTAAGTTCTTCTAGAGAATATGTCGTTAAGAAGACATTCTTTAGAATAGCTATGTATAGTAACTATGTATGTTAGCTTAGCTGTGGAGGAATCTGGTTGGTTCCGAAGATCCTGTTTACTAAAGGAGAAGAGCGCGCGTCCAATAGTTTTATCATAGTTTCAATTTCTTTCTTCTTCTTTCAACAAAAAATCTGGGATTTTAAGTCACCAGCTCGTAGTCTCACCTAATTTCAGCCGTGCCTCAATGTCGCCTTTAACTGAGGTTTTATTCATGGAAATTGTAAAGCAATTACAGTTTATAAATAAAACGTAAAAGTCTGACTTACATCACTAGCCTTTATCACTACTGTCTAGGTGCATGTCTATCAAAATCTATCTATGGTCATATAATTGTCATTTTCCGTTTATTGTATTCCCTAATATTTTCTTTTTCTTTCAATAAAAATAGAAACAATAAACACTTATAATAATCCAAACGTTGCCTTAGTTTTACATCATGGGTAAATATTTTAAAGTGAAATTTATAGTCGATACTTTTATTCGGTGGGCGGTGTTGATAATATTATGGAAAACTAATTTATTTGTTTTCGTCTAGCGTCTAGTGAAGTAACAAAACTGCAGCAGCATTTAGCCTTATTAAAAGAAGAATATAGCAAGCTACAGATACATTGTGCTGAAGTTGAAAGGAAGTATACTTTGGCTGCAGCTTCGGCCGGAGATCTTAGTGAAACAAGTTTTGTTGCCCGGTTACTTATGACTGTATCGACTTTATACGGCAGAGAAACTTATTCAGATATAAATATTAAACTACAGAGCAAGACTGTTCCTGGCCACAAGTTTGTTTTGAATGCTCGCTCAGATGACTGGAATGAAGCTGCTCTCAAGAATCTAACAGAACTAGGTAATTAACTAGTAATCAACATAAATGTATAGTATAACGTTTTTAACTACATGTATATTAGCGTGGCTTTTTGGTGCTCAGAGATTTAATAAACACAAAAAATACAATTTCAAAACAGCTATTAATTAAGTGTTAACTAAATGTAATTTATTATGTTCCTTACGTTGTGATGTCCTGATTGGAAGTAAAAATCTAACACAGTTGTGAGTTAAATGATACAAATCTCATAAAGATTTTTCTCAATGTTTCAGATTGGTCTAACTTGCCAGATGATGTAGGTTCAGCGCTTCTAAAATGGCTTTACACAGATGTTGTAGATCTCTCAAGAGGAGATGCTTTTGCTTTACATCTTATGAAATGTGCTGCGAATTTCAAACTTTATGGACTTGTTGGGAAATGTGAACAGGCTCTTATCACGTCAGTTGGAGTCAGGTAAATATCAACTAATGGAGAAATCTAAAAAATGTCAAATTAAGTTTAATTTTTATTGATAATTTAATAATAAAAAAAGATAATTGATTATAACTATAATCAATTATGTCTCTATAATACCTAAATAATAATATCTCTATAATATAGATTTAATCAATTATATCTCTATAATTGAAAAAATTTAAGCCCAATGAATATTAAGTTTTGTCTCCTTGATTTTTTTGAATAGCAATCATTACATCTTAATATACAGCGTGTCTATACAATCAATATTTACAGAGTTATAAAATTTTCCAAAACGAAGAATTTTAGAACACCCTTACATATATAACTGTAACGTAAAGTTTATTTGTAAAGGTTGAAGGTTGAATGAATTTAAAAGAGACAAAACATACTGTTAGAAGGAGAGGCTTGTATTGCGACGTTGTGGCAACGAATGAAAAAGTCTCTGAATGTATGAATCAGTCAGTTGTAGTTGTATAGGTGTTACAAATTTTGTTTCTTTTTTACTTAATTACTTTGTTTGAAAATTTTTTTTTTAATTATGGAATTTTTAAGGTTAATATTTTTTAATGATTATTGGCAAGTAGCGTTAGACGTGTGTTCATTTGTTATGTGTTCGTGTGTTTTTTGTCGCGATGGTAACGACACGCTGTATATCCAGCGTGTCATTACCATCGCCACAAAATCCATAATTAAAAAAAAATATTTTTCAAACAAACTAATTAAGTAAAAAAGAAACAAAATTTGTAAAATCCTATACAACTCGCGCCACTCGTTTTTCTTTTAAATTCATTCAACCCATTCATATGCTTTGTGACCTTTACAAATGAACTTTACGTGACGCTTTTATAGGTAAGGGTGTTCTTAAATTCTTTGTTTTGGAAAATTTAATAACTCTGTAAATATTGATGTTTAAAGAATTTAAATGTTTAATACAACTTTAAAAAGTTATCCCCTATATGTGTGTTCATTTATTGTCGCGATGGTAACGACACGCTGTATATAATTTTAATTCAAAAATATATGTGAATTACTTTATTATATATTTTTATTCTTATAAGTGTAGGGCAGTATATATCAGATAGCAGAGCATTGTGTCAGTGATAAATATTATTGCAACTACCTAAAAAAAATTACCAGTAGACATTTACTGTGGTAATGCCACATATAAAATCGAATCAATGGGCAGGCTCGTCCAGAGTACTATCCTCATAGAAGATTGGAGTGAAGCAGCATTGTTATATGTTCTTCTGGAGTGTGTTAACTTGTAGCCACTTTTTTACTGCAACCTGTCAGGTGTTGTAGATGTTCATTGGTGGCAGTAATCATTTCACCAACTTGCTTACCAAATTCTCTAATAAAAAAAAAATACAAATTCCATGTTTTTACTAGTATGTACTTCTTAAGGAATGTTATAATTAAACTTTTAGGACCTGTGTCAAGTTTTACTCTGCAGCAGATGAGATTGGTGCAACTGCCCTCAAGGAACATTGTTCTGGTTTGATATCTACACATTGGGATGATCTCACAGGTAAACATAGTATATAATAGTATATCTTTATTAGTACTAATTAATATATTACTTTTCCCTTTGCCTACCATGTTGATACAGATGTACTCTGTCCACATCCCGGGCCACTCCATTGTTATCAAAACAGTCAGAGCAAGGGTGCATTACCCTCATGCAATTTATAAACATTATTATGAGTGCAAGGTTATTTATAGCAGATAATTATGACTGAGTACCATGTATTTTATAGGAAGTATGATATAATATATAGAAATATTAAAACAAAAAAATTTAATAGAATATGATGTGCATTTCACATAGCACTTGTATAGTGTAGTTCAATTGAATCCATAAAATAACTTGAGAAAAAAAATGTGATTTGTATTGTTGCTCACCAAGATCTTACTGCAAAAATGTGTAGAACTGTTTTACTAAAATTTCAAAACTGCGTTGCTAATAAAAAAACTTATTAGAATTATTTTTAGTTTAGGATTGAAGATTAAAATAAAAGATAAAATGAGGAAGTTATAAATTGTATATTATACTTTTCAACTGGTATTCAATTAACAGAAATCCATACAAATAAATAGCTTGAAGAAGTAATATATGTGTTACAGAAAAGAATGAGAACAGAGTGACAGATAAAATTTAAAGCAATTTGTTTAACTCCAAACATAGAGCCCACCTTGTTTGTTATAAATGAATACCAATGTTTTATATTAATCAATATTTAAGGAAAATATTTAAAAATTAAGTAGGCTTATTTTTGTAGGCTTATATTTATGTGTCTTATTCTTATGTAGGGAGATCCTAAAATATAAATTCTTAGAATTAGCTTTACATAGTTGCTTGTGCACTTTTTTCGATTTAAATTGCATCATTTAAACATGCCTTCGCTGTTTTATTTGATATTGTCACAAGTCCTGATTATTATACGAACTTACCAACAAAGTTGGTTCAAAAGAAGAACATTCTTATAATTTAATGTTCACACAAGATTTAAAACCAGTTGAAATATGTTAGATAGTTATGAAAAATCTCTTAATTATGATGAAGAAAGTTAGTAGGCCCCATTTTACTTTGTGCAGTTTTTAATAACACAAGAAAAGAAAGTATAGAAGATGTTTTGCTGCTAAAATCTGGTTTAGTTGAATAAAAATGTTGTATTACATACTAGCTATTTAATGATTATTGATGTACTGGTGGAAATAGGCATACCATAACCTTACATTATACATACAGAATCTTTACATCTACAGCTCAAGATTTGTTAAATTGAGGAACTAAGAATTCAAATCTTTCCACACAGATTGAGGCATAGGTCAGGGCTGCATTCTGCGACATATTGTTCCATTTGTATAGAGAATATAACATGGCGAAAGCACTGGACGGTGTTGTAGTAGGTAGTCGCAGAGTCAGGAATTTTAAAAACAGAGTCAATACTAATATATTTGTTATCACCACGCATTTTATATAGAGATAGTTTATGGTTGATGTAGACGACGTTTTTAATAGGAACTGCTTATTGGTTATCGTGTTTGACGGCAGTCCCATCTGGTAAGAGGGCCATAGGCAGTAAAAGCCTATCACTTTTGCCTTTCCTCGCCTGCTCATAAAAATAATCATAATATTAAAGCTCTTTGTTCGAGTAGTAGGATGGAATGTCTACAATGAAAGAATGGTGTTGTGTCGTGCGTCTACTTGTTCGAAGGAAAAGCACACTCTTGATAATGCAGTGTGGAAAAATCGGCCAAGTGCAAGTCGGACTCGCGTACGAAGAGTTCCGATAGTACCTTTAAAAAATCGTGTCTGTCGTATGGGAGCTCCACATAAATATTTTTTTTAATATTTATAGTTATAGCGGCAACAGAAATACATCATCTGTGAAAATTTCAACTGTCTAACTATCACGGTTCATGAGATATATATAGCCTGGTGGCAGACGGACAGACAGACAGACAGCGCAATCTTAGTAATAGGGTCCCGTTTTACCCTTTAGGTACGGAACCCTAAGAATGAGAGGCAGACTACCCCGCCCGTGTCCTCGAGACGAATTAGATTGGTTCAAATCAAATCAGAATATCAAAGGAGTATCTTCGCAATGAGTCTAAGACATTAAGATGGCACGCCTAACAAATATGTAGACGATCAGGATTGTGCTTGCTATCTTACATGCTGGTAAGAAGCCAAAATATACCATATATATTCGGTCCAATTCTCACTCTCTGAGTAGGGTTCAGAAAGTTTGTTGGTTTACTGTATGCAAAATGATAAATCAATCTTGGGATCTCAATATCGCTAACAGCATTTAGCGTCCCGAGTTTTATACTATGTATTATTTACAGCGAAGGATGTTTTCTTTACATATAATTTATTGGTTAGGTGATGACTTCGCTCACATGTCCTCCGCGCTGCTGTATCGCATGCTGAAGAGTAAAACGGCTCAACCTCTTCACGGCGCTGTGCGGCTGTTGCGGGAGGACGTAGTCTTCTTGTGCCTGGTTGAGAATCATGCTAATGTAAGTAACATTATTATTGAACTTCTTTTGGCGCGTTAGGGAAAAATGAAGAGAGTAAATTTTTACGATGCGCACACCGTCACGAAAAACCGGCAGCCTGAAGTAAGCTAGACATCTACGTATGTTTGCGTGAGAACTGACGATATTTAATTATATATAATATATATAATTCACGATATTTAATTTGATATTTAAATAAACTTCATTTAACTAGATAATGAGTTATAATAAAACTTTCAATGTATTAAATACCTTTTTTCTATTGTTAGTGTTGTTTGTTCTACAAACGTAGAATAAGGCGAAAGATAAAATTTTTGAAAAGATTTGTATCTTGTCATGCCAAAGAAGTATAACTTTTTAACACACACTTTTTTTCCTTCTCAATCGTTACTAGGGATGGGTCGTATCGCTTTTTCTGAGTACCGTATCTGAATCCGATATCGATTTCAAATATCAGATTTCGAAACTATGTATTTTAATATCTAGATATTTTACGGTTCCCTATCCACGTTGATTAATTGAATTCTAAAAAAAAAAAAAAAAAAAAAATTGTATACTTTAAGGGAGTGGATATAAGATGAATGAAATAACTTCCCTTCATACTTTTTCCAGGCTTAGGACTGGCTGCAATATTTCATACTTATTATAAATATAAAATTGTGCAGGCGTATTTAAAAGTTGATTCATTCTATGTACATAATTTTCCTTATATTTAAAACTTAACATTATATATTTACAATTATGTCAGGGTTAATAATTATTTATATCCCTCCGGGTTCAAATTCACGTTTAGGAATGTAAGCTCTCTGACTTTATTCGCTCGAAACTCTTGTTCGACGATCATTAATAATTAACCCTGTCTTACTAAAAATGCGTTTTTTTAAATTATTAAATTAAAAATTTCATTAAAAATATAAATTGAAGTAATATAAAAATGATTTATTTTAACATCTTATATACCGCTTAATAATTGACTTTAACATATTTTTAGAACACGCAATCGAGTGGCAATATTTTTATTATTTGTGTAAGAAATAATACATTCAGTATTATAGCTTAGGGCGGAAGAATTTAAAATATACACACAAGGCACATAAGCCTTGGTCTGATTTCCACCAAAGCAGCACAGCACTATTAAATAATATTTTTTCTTTTTGTGTACTTTTATTTTTTTTCCAAATATATGAATAAAATTTAGCTAATAAAAATATTCACAAAAAATTTACCACCTAAAAAATTTCCATTGTATATCTTTCTTCCTAAATTTAGGCAGAAAATTCTTAAGTAGTAAGTTGGCATCCCTTACTATTACGTGTTAAGTACCAATGCAATCCAGCTCAAGGCTGAACAAAATTTCAAAGACATCGTTAATACCGTAATTCGTATTTAAATGCAACAGAGTTTTTTTTCCATGCTGTTAAGATTCAAAATTACTTAACTGCGCGCTTTTGTCGCCCGTTACGGCTCAAGGCTAAACAAAACAATAAAAATATAATAATATCGTTGTAGTAATCGCTGATACCAAGATTAGTATTTAAATGAAACGGATCTTATTTGCATGGTGTTAAGATTCAAATTACTTAACTTATTCATAATATCTGTTTAAAAATCTGATATCGTGCATTGCTTGCCGTCCCGCTCTAACTAGTGAGTATTTGTATCTCACGCGCTTTGTCTCTCGAAATCTGTTTTAAAAATCAGATATTGTGGCAAACGCGTATGATATCGCCGTATCGCGATTCGTGTCGGTATAGCGAGCGAGCACGGTACATCAGATTTCGGAAATATCAGATATTGTAAAATACATAGATATTGAACGAGCCAGTAAGCGATATTGGGATATTGTACTAATATCTAGTTTTCATATCTGATACGATTTGTATCGCCCACTTCTAATCGTTACTATTTGCCAAGCCAGTAAGCGTATCGTCGACGTTAAAACATTTGAAACGAGACCGTTTATCGTCTAACATAAAGCACTTTTTATCTTGACCATTTTGTATCGTCCGTTAAATAGTCGATATTAAAAGAAAAATTTTGATTTCAGTCGGCACTATTTATTCTCAGTTATGTTAGGTGTCAGACTATGAGGAACATTTCATGAACTAGTTTATCCAAACTAAGTAATAGTAATAAAAGCATGTATTTTCGAGGGCGTCTTTACGCTTTGCGTTTCTACGTTGCACTTTCAATGATCAAATCTATTAGTCATTCAATTATCATCTGCTCTTCCGAAAATCTAGGCTACACGACTGTCGATGCACGTTCGCATGATCGCCACGTACTCAGAAGAAATTTTTCTGCTTACCCTTTCAAATGATCAAGGTTCAGTGTTAAAGATCTCTACACAATGTGGCAATTTGGACAATTAAACAATTTTAATATTTTGTCCCAGCGATGATTGAAATCTATGAGTACGGCTGTTATATTGTTCTCGTTCTATTTATTGGTCGAAACAGTTCGATCAGAGGTTAGTTGGTTGGATGCGATCTAACCACAAAAACAGATTTCAAAATGTAGCTAGTATTTTTAAAGGCAAAATATAGGCTGAATATAAATATTTTAATAAAATTAATTTACGGATTTTGATTAGAAACTCCCGACATAGTGCTTATGGTCACGGGGCAGACTGAGATATTTGAGGTCTTGAGATAATGTTAACTTGAAATTCATTAATTTTGGTCAGATCTACGTAGCAAAAGATAGACTGGTGGGTCTGGATATAATTTAATTGATTACAGTATCCTGATCCGGTTGTAGAACTATCTTCTGCATTTAAATTTGATGTTTCTCTATTTCAATTTTATTCTAAACAACTTTATTGAACCTTATTTTAACTTAAATTCGCCAAAACCCTCATGCTTTAGTTCAAATGTCGTACATCTCAATTAGTATCAGTTCTTTCAATAATATGTCGCAATTAACTGTTTGTCCTGTTTTTTTATTCTTTACGACGCCCAATTCGATCGCCGTAAAGGAGTTTGGGTTTCTTCCGAAACCAGCACCGAAAACAATAGCTGACGTCACAATTCCAAACTCAAAAGAACGCCGACGACTCCGTTAAGTCGCGCTGCGTCTAGACCGAAATACGTGGAACGAATGTCCATTCGAGTCTCCCATGTCATAATCGCCCAGCACTGTGCTTTGGAACGTGGTGTAATAGAAATTTATGTCCTCGTGCGGATGCGTCGACGCGTGTATGAATACAAATATGTCTTTATTCGTCCATTAATAGGACCTATGGTTCCCGGTTCCTCTTCTCATGTACGAAGTGCGGTATTGTGCTGGGTTGTCACTTAATGTACGTCTCTTCAAGAACACGATGAATAGGACTGAGCCCTTATCGTTGCTATCACAACGTTACACAGGCTGATGCTAGTCGAGTACGAGCTGGTTAGGTTTTAAGTAAAAAAAAAAACCTAAGGAAATAGTTCATCGCGGACAAAAATTGAAAATAAAAAGGGCGATGGAAGTCGATGGATGCAGGTGGGTCAGGATCGTGCTTTGTGGCTGTCTGTGGTTCCCCACAGGCCTATGTTCGGTAGTGGACTCAAACAGGCTGAAATGATGATCATGATGATGAAACAAAAATGGCAGTTCGGTATTGGAATATTAAAGCAAGTAATAACTATCATTCTTTCATGCGCGGTAAAAACTCCAATATTGCAATCATTTAATATCAACACTAAATTTGTAGCCGTTTAAATGTACTACAGTGACATCGCGATTCTCGACCCCTAGTTGCGAAATTTTAATAGTGGTCAAATTTGCGAATTAATATAAATTAATAAAAGTAATAGCCAATCTTAGGTAATTTTTTTTTCATTATAGTCCCACACCATCTGTGTATCATGTTTTATGGACTAGTGATAGCAGTAGTAACAAATTTAAAAGGTTTTATTGGGCCAAAACTTTCCTACGTTTCCGAAGGATCAGATGCTTGATATCGTAACGTAGTAACAGCTCATATATTGGATAATAGTTCAATTTTTGATTTTTTTCGCGTATGAAGTCATTCAACTTTATTTAACGTTTGCCGATTAATTAAACAACCCGTCGATATAATTGTTCCGTGCCACTCCAATTAACAGAGTTAAACACTGGACGAATCTAAAGTCTAAAACTGGTTGGGTATCGGTGGTTGTATGCCTGCCATATGACTTCTGGAGTTATTTTATTTTTGATGAACGAAAATATCTGTACATGGTAATTTGTAACTCCTTACTAAGATAATAATTATGGGGCAAATATTTTTAACACGTTCTCCTTTTTTATATTTATTCTTAAAAAGTTTAAGCCATGATAGTGGACAGCTTGCTAAGTGATCCGAGCGTTTGCTTTTTATTTAGTATATTCGAGCAACGTGTGTTCCAATCTAGCCACCGATGGAACGGTTAATTACAATTTTGTTTGCTGAATTATCACGTCCTCGGCGGTGAAGGAACATAATTATTATAGTCTGTCATATCTCTTACCTTTGCACGGAGCAGGCCTTTGTTAAGCAACGAGTTATATATAGACTGTTACTTATCTTAAGAAGTTTGTCTTGCTAATTCTTTAGATTTTTATTTAACAGTTGATCAGTTCTAACCTAATAAACAATGGTTGGTGGTTCCTTACGAACATATATATATAATTTTTTATGTAAAATTTGACGATTCATAAGAACGCGCAAGTGTCTATTTAAATAAATATATTTTTGAATGTTGATTTTGAAATTACTCGGTTATAATTTTATTCCTTCAATATGCTGTGATGATTTGTTTGCTCACCAAAATTGGAATTTCGCGACAAAAATTAGTCTGTTTTTATATTTAGTTGGTTCTAGATTCGAAATTTCGAAAAAGAATTTTTGGTTTTATCCATTGGTTTGCCGGTATTTTTTGTGTTATAACAGATTTTTCCGTTTACGTAAAAAAATTCCATTGTTATTGCTCATTTTGTTTAAATTTCGAATCGATTTTTAGCATTTACTTCTTGAACTTCAGTTTGTTACAACGATTAAAAATATTAAAGTCCAAAAGTCGTGTGTCTACTCATATCAGATCTTTCCCCCGGTTGAGAAGTCGCTCTTAATTGGACAAATGATAATATTTTCAAGTCCCAATGGCTTCCAGTTTCTTTGCATTCAAGGACAAAGCCCGCCTCCCAATGAAACCAGTACCGAAACAATAGCTGACGTCACAACGTCGAAAATCTATAGAAAGCCGAGTCTGTTACTGTTGTCGCGTCTAGACTCTAGATCGAAATATATGAAGATGCGCTTCATTCGCGTGTATTTTTTGAGCCATTAACAAAAGAGTTAACGAATTATTTTTGTAGACCAGAGTATTATGTATTCAACAACGTGTAATCGTAGGTAACTATAAATTTCTTTTTGTTCACGTTTTCTCCATCTTTAATTCAATTTAAGTAAACTAAACTGATAACAATCATATTTGTTACAAATTTTAGCACTTATAAATTACTAGCTAACCCAGCAAACGTTGTCTTGCCGTATATTATATCTAAGGAATTTGTAGGGTATAAAAAATATTTGGGGTGGACCACCCTTAACATTTAGGGGAATGAAAAATAGATGTCCGATTTTCCACCCTGGCCGATATGCACACAAAATTTCAATGGTCATTGATAATTGGTCGAGCCGTTTCGGAGGAGTTCAATTACAAACATTATGACACGAGAATTTTATATATTAGAATAAATTGACATCTTTTGACTCATTAATGACAAAAGTGTCTATATTTTTATTGTGAGCTTCAGTAACCGTTAATAAACATTTGGTAATTAGCGTTAAGTCCGTTTTGTTCCGTTTTCCGTGTTGATTTGGATGTTATCGTTTACGTGAAGTTTGTCTCATTTAAATGAATATTATTATGCATTTTGTGTTGTGGCATGTTTTCAAAGTAGCCAATAACAAAGTATGAATGAAGAGGCATACTGTTTTAAAAATAATTCTCATAAAGTAAAATAAAAAAGTTGTACATAAATTACATAAACATGTTTATTTTACAAATTTACATATTATATTCACATTTAATTTTTGCATTCGTTCATTTAAAAACATCGCTGTAATATTAAATTATTGTTGTATTTGTGCCTTAAAAATATCGGAAATACGGGACGACTCGCCGCGTAAGTATAAGGGACTTATAACAAACATTCCTTGTCCCTTCTGTATTTTCTTATGATCGTTATTTTTTGTGTCTTCGGGCCTTTCCGTCAATTGCTTTATTATAACTAAGTATATAAATTAGCGATTATGAAATTTCTGTAAATTACTTTACAATTTTTAATTATAGATAAATCGAAACTGTCATATAAACTTGCCATAACTTCCGTTTTTGGACATTGCCTCTTCATTAACCTCTTCACTAATTTTATAAGGACAAAAGCCGGAATCGAATTAACTTAGAATCAAACCTATTATGACTATTAATAGTAGGTATCGACTAATGGTATAACTATCGACGCCATTGCACAGATCGCCGCGACAGTAGCAGTAGAGGGTTGTTGTGGCGCGCTCGATGTCGCTGGGGTCCTCTGCGCACCCCTCGTTGTACACGTCGTAAATGGTATTGACCGGACGCCATTTGCCGTTTATCTTCGCCTGGTCGCCGCTCATGGTTTGCGAGGCGCAGCCGCGCTGCGTGGTCGTTGTTGCCACTGAAAAGTGAAAAAAAAAAAAGCTGTAGGTCTACTCCGAAACAGCCGTGTAGTCTCGGGCTTATAGAATAGGCGTTCGAATCTGGAACGTTGCTGTGCGGAAGTACCCCAATCCAACTATTAGTCAAACGAAAAACATCGACACTGTAATCAGATTAATATTGTTGTGGAATGGTATTTGGACGGTACGAAAATTTTAGCGATACTTTTGTAGGGCAACAACTACTAGCATAACAGCGATAGGCATTTAACTGTGGTAGGGCCACGCAATAGTCTTCGATGGTCCGTCCGAGGACCACGACTTCTGCATTTCGTCTGTTGAGTGATGTAAGCGAATCCCACTTACATCTGCAACCCTAAAAGTGTTGCAAATGTCCATGGACGGCGCTTGCCACCTTCTCACGTAAAAAAAACAGTGCGATTACGCTGGTTCGAGCCAAGGTGCCAAGGCCTTACAAAAGACCGACGTGATTGCGATGCGTTTATAGTTTTGCTAGCCTCTGTGATTGGCAACATTTGTCGTCTTGTAAGTGACCACAAATGTAGGTTGTAGTCCTTACACCATATGAACCTTCTTTGGAAAGAAAATGCAATGAAAGTTTTCTCATTTCTCTTATTTTTAGCATTTTTTTCCTGCGCCCGAATGCTTGAGGGTTTGACGTAAATACAACGACACAGTGCAAACAGTATTTAATACGAGTTGTCATATCTTTGTTCTTTTGGGAATGAACTCATTCGGATATCGTTAACGGCAGACGATTAATTAAATCACCCCTAGTATGTAATTGCTCTGTTAATTAACTGAGTGAAACACTAAACGACGCTGAAGTCCGAATTCTTTATAATTATTTATTTTTGTCATATATTTTTTTATTTTTCGGTCTGTTATGTCAAAAGTTTTATGAAATGTACATAAAACCAAGTCATATAAAATTGCTTCAACGATGTTTTGCTAAGAAAATTGCAATAGTACGAAAGACTAAATTCGCACGGGTATTTGTTTTTTTATCAGTAATTTGTGACGATAAAAGATATTTTATTATTTCTTACAATCACATTTGATGGAGTTCTGACGCGTTATTTTTCATTATATTCAATGCAAATATGTCATATCTTCTTTCATTCACTGATCAGTAGTATTTGCGGTTAACTATTATGTAGTTTGGTAGTTCCTACAAATAAACATAGTAAATATAAAAATGATTGTGCGTGCCTTGAGTTGATCTTAGTCGATTTACGAATTAAGAATAAGGCTATAAACAGTGTTCGGGGTACAACGTTTGCGACATATAGTTAATGGTGTCGTGACATAGAATTCCATTGCCCATATACATCTCGAACGTTATTAAGCCGCGCGAATAACGTGAAATCGGTGTCAAAGCTATATACAGATTAGTCATGGCGCAACTGAAGCTCAAAATAAGTTAATTGATTCAGTCGGAGCTGTTTTTCCAGGGCCCAAAAAGTTCAGTTCAGTTTAGTTTACTTTTACTTGGTTCTAGTTAATAGCGCGTATGATTAAAATTTGTAGACGAACGAAAAGTGATTTGGCACCTAACGACGCTTTAACCACCAAGTCAAATAAACTGCTGATTTCCACACCGACGAAAATCTCGAAGTATTTTATCTGCGTTGTATTTTCGCATTCTAAGCAATGCTTGGCGTATCTACTGTTATCATTTACAGCAAAAATAACGTTAAGGTGAAACATTAAAATTTTGTAGAAGCAATGGACGAAAAGTTTTTGGTCGCTGCGGGAATCGAATCCACTTCTTCCGAATTCGCCCATAGGCGCATTAACCTATGTATATAATGTTTGGTACATTATTATTTTGATTGAAGATGCTATCCTATGGACCTCGACTTGACAATTTGGATGTTGTATAGAATGGTATGTATTATTTTGCATTTTTTTAATCATTACATAGCGTTCTATATTAGCAGTGAACCCTCACATTGTTTGATCTAACAATAGAATGATACAATGAAAATTTGACAGGCGATGATGTATCATTTGCTTATTTCGACGGTTCCAAATTGGTTTTAAATGAGCAACATTTATCATACAATTGACGAACTTTGGTTGCTTTTCGGCGAAATCTTATAGCTTACAAAAGATAATTGGATATGTAAAATAGATTGATGTCTTGCAACAACAATCACTCGATTTTTCATTTACGTTCGGCTATAGATATCAAAACTTTTTAGTATGAAATTTTCAATGATATGATGGGAAGTTGTTTCAGATTTTAACTGTTTAGTACATTTGCATACAATTCAATACATATACCTATAGATACAAAGATCCTTAAGTGTATTGGTGTAGTGGTATATAAGAAATTTAATTTAGCAGAGTGGCGCCGTCTTTGCTATTTGCATGAACGACAAGAGCTTCACAATTACCATTAAATGACTAACGTATGGCGACAAAAACAGAGTGTTTCCCTAATAAAGTTATTAATGTATACCTATTTAGACATCGTTTCTCTCGTTCGAGATCATTAAGTGTTCTTGTCTTATGGATATTTCATTATTTTCAATGAATTGTAAAGTCGGATAATTCTGCTGGAGTTACTTTGCTTAAAATAACAATGATTGTAATTTTGGTAAAATTTAAATATATATATCAAATCATCGAAATCGTTACGATTGAACATTTCAATTCGTTCTCTTCTACTCCGATATCGATATATATATATATATATATAATCTGTTATAAGGAAATTACAAATTATATTTACTCAATCAAGTACCTACTCAAAAGTTTGTCTAAATGCTCTAAGCATTTTCTGTTATCCGATTCTTACATATAATAAAACGGTTATAAATTGCTCCTAGATAACAGGGAGGATTTGACGCCTAGAACATTTCTAGTCTTTTTGTTGGCATAGCTGGCTTACTCGCAGCTGGCTCGTCTGTTAAGGAAGGAAGAAAATCATATCAAGCTATCGGGGAAGCGCAATAGATCGTCTTGGCGTTAAAAACTTTCTTTGTCCTACGTCAGTTTCTTCAACGCATCGTTATTTTATGTCCTAAAATTTTAAGGTGACATTTGACGCTCACATCCGTTGCCCAAGTCCAGGGAGATCACTCTCTTGTAACACATAGTGGAATGTATGCAGTCCGTGACGTATCTCGCGCTGCCGTCGAATTGCTCGCATAGTGTCTCCTCGTTCGTGTAAGTCCGCTCCGGGTCGCACTTGTAACACTGCATCGCCGACGACACTGCAAAAAAGCACACCTTATGCATGTGTTACTACTATGTTGGATTAAAGCTTTCACTTAATACGGAGTGTCAGTTTATACACCCCGAAGCCCCCTTTATAATCTCTTCAAACAAAGGAAATTTAGACCATAACATGAAACGCAAAGAAGTTGCAAATAACCTGTTGTATATGTGTAGCCGTGATAGCTCAGTGTCCGGGCGCTCGCCTTTAATTCAATATACTCGAGAAACCTGAGTTCGATCCCCGGTGCCGGCACCAATGAAGTTTTTTAACTTTAAGTGCTGACTTATCACGTGCTCCGCGGTGAAGGAAAACATCGTGAGGAAACCTGCATATTTTCGAAATAATAACAAATAAAAATATATTTCGAAAATATGTGAAGTCCGCCAATCCGCAGTGGGGCCGCGTGGTGGATTATGCCCTGATACCCTCTGTGTAGAGGAGGCCTTTGCCCAGCAGTGGGACATGTATAGGCTGTTACTTTACTTTATATGTGTATTTCACCTGGATTTAACCAATAAGTTTTCAAAAAGGTCTGATATCCGTCGCGTCATTGTGTTCAAAACAATTTATATTATGGTCTTTGATTGAACAGACCGGCCGGGTAGTGTCACACCTATACTTGCACACAGAAGTCTGTTGGTGACAACTAGATGCCCACTGGCCAAGATCCGATGATGGGACTGTCACAGGCTTCTGGTGATGATTTTGATATGTTATATTAAACATCTCCAAAACAATTTTCCTTGTGACAAGGATAATGGTAAATGATAATGTTATATAATAATATAGGTATATTATTATACCTTCGATTACAAGTTTCTTAAACCGAATGATTTAAGTTGCTTTCTTTTTGTTGTTATGGTGCGACATATTTCGTTATCGAGACATTCCGACCACATTTCGCTTATTGCCAAAGGTCGTTAAACAAGTGAGTGTCGCTCACATCTGCGGACAGTCGTATGGTGAACGAGAACAAAGAAACCATAGAGGCGGCCCGTTGCCGAGTTACTATGTAGAAGGGATAAAATGGGGCCATAAGCGCAGACGGATGTGTGTGGGAGATCGGCTAGCATAGATTTTTATATTGGGCGGACTTAGCATTTTTTTTATATCAAGGACGCGTGGTTCGCTCTATCCTGGGTCATTAGCAGCCGATTTTTGATTTTATCATTATTATTCATTCATGTGTGTATATTATTTAGAGTTTTTTTAAAGTTTTTTGTTAGAAATGTCGGAAATAAGGATTTGAATTACACAGTTTGTATTATTTTTTGTAATTATTCTATGTGATTAAAAATACCTTCAGACAATTGGTTGATCTGCGAGAAAAATTATGTTAAATGTCTGTATAAGCTTTAATAAGTAATCACCTTCGCTTAAGTACATACGATTTAAATAAAAAAATGAGCGAACTTAATAGTTTTGAGTTAAAGATTTCGTTTGATTTTATTATAAGTTTTATTACACTCAAAATCGTTGGTGGTCTCTTATGTCATATTTTTAATTGGGCAATATCCCAACTGGAATGTAATGGCTAAAAGCTGTTGCACTTGTGTTTGCAAACTTTCTATTTATAGTCTACCACACACATTTGTTGTGGTACTTACCCGGACGGGCCTGCCCATTCGTGCAACAGCCGAGGCTGCTGCGTGGCCCTACCACCGTTAGAAAAAAGTAACACTATATTTGTTTTTGTTAAGGCAGATTTCTTCGTTGGATAGGATAAATCGGATTAAGGATAGACGGATGAATTTATCAATTCAATAACATTAGTGTTACATGAGTATTTTTTCATCAGGATTATTAAGCCAGGCGGAAGTATTAGATTGTCCTCGTAAAAATTTAATGTCTGGTCAATACACTACTTAACCGCATAAGGAGAACGTTTAATTAGCTATCTATAGTTAATGGGCTCATAATTTTTGTTTAATATTAAATTGATCAAAAGTTGACATGTCATTTGTATGATAATTAACATTATTAAATGACATTTTTTTCTTAACTCTATCGATTTATTTTATTTAATTCCAGCCTGAGTTCATCCATCCCTTGACCGTGAAAACTTAAAATAATTCATAACGTCAGAATTTAAAATAAACCTGATAAAATTTGTTAAATAGTTACATTTTGTAATATGTAGTGTTTGCGTAAATATAACAAAAAAAAATATTATGATAAAAGCGTATAAGGTGTGAGTCATGTATTTTTAAGATTTATATTGAACTTAATAGGTCTATTTATACTCGTAGTACTTTTACGGCCGAGCTTTATTAATACTTCACAGACGAGCGGAACACTTTAACCACTGTATTTACTTGAAGTTTCACCAAATAGAGTTTACGTTAAATATTTCTTTCAGAACAGGCAGTTTTTGCCGCATAAGATATTACATAGATATTTTAAATTTGCTTCGTGATTGTTTCTGAAGGCAAATTAGCTAGTGCATGTAATCCTTAAATGCTTAAGAATTATTTACTGGCACGCTACAGAAGCATCAGTGCTTTTTATTTCAATCCAGTTCAAAAACAATATAGCACATTTGTTTATATTTATAATTATTTAAGTTCTCATGCATATTTTACAGTGCTGTTCATAAAATGCAGAGGCGACAGTTAGTGCCCTTACTTGCAACTTACTCTTTTCCCTATTCTGCGTGTTGGCGAGTCATATCTCAATTATCCTTGTATGCGCAATGTATATTTAAATTAAATAAAATGTGTCCGTTCACTTGTAAACATAACAAACAACAGAGTGAACTGATAGTGAGTTAAATTACAATTGTAGTTACCTACGACTTGATAAAGTTAAATTTATTACATATTAAGCCATTCGTCATATTAATTATGTATTATTTGTAAGACTAACGCCCGGTTTCTGAGACACTGATCATAGTAGAAATTAACTAATCAGCTGTCAAATGGCTTTTCAAATGTCATTTGAATTGCCAAAATAATGGTTTAACTCTTTGAGTTGATCATTCTGATTATTAAGAAAGAAGACCATTCTGAAAAAAGGAACAAACCAAAATGAATTGTTTACCTAAAGGTTATAAAAACACTTCTTTGTATTGATACAAAATTTGTCTTGATCTATTTGAATATTATATCAAAACTGTAATGGATGTGGTCGTGTTTGACTGTGCGATCCGAGTTCGAATTTAAACATACCGGTTCTACCTCTTTTTCCTTTACTTCTTCCTTTTTTTTAAATTAACATTAAGAAAATAAACTCATTTTAAGGTTATACATACATGATAGAAAACAATGATTAAATGATTGAATTATTTTTTAGTATTGCATGAATTTTAAGTGAGGTATTTCGTTATGAAACGATAAAAATGTTTTTTTTAAACTTAGGTATATCCTTACAAAAATTTTGGTGCAAATATAATAATTTGAATTTTCACTCACAATATAACAACATGAAATCGCGTTTATCAAAACTTTGTGATACTTATTCAGTTATTAAACTTAACTCTAATTAGTTAAATTTGATTTGTTCATTGGTTAGTTAAAACGCCAGTTATATTCATTTATCATCTATTTAGTTTATCTAGCCACCCGCGTGTACTATGCCGTATCGTTTATGTGGAATACAAATAAGTAGACAAATAATTTAATTCGTTTAATTTCGTGAGTTCCTAACGGCTTGCTTTTAATGTTATTCGTCTCATACGTCTGCTATATTTCCATCATAAATAACTACTATACAACATAGAATACAAATATATAGAAAAGTATTTGTATTATATTCTTTTAATGTACATAAGTTTTGTGATTTTCAAATAAATACGAAAATACTTACGTTCACATAGTAAGGAAAACGCACATAAAAAATATTGCAACTCCATTGTTATAAAATAAGAACGCACTCGAAATTTACCACTTGGCGTTTCAAAACAAATTTGGCACTTAAAACAACTGACATTTAACCGATAAAAATATATTAATGCGTAATGCAAAACATTTAATACGGACGTATTTGCGGGACGCCAGTGGCGCCATGTGCTCCGCGGCCGACTGAAATCGGCTCCTCTGTTCAAGTCATGATTCGCAGACAGGAAGCCCAGTGGCGAAACGGGCAGTGTCCAAATATCGGAGAAATTTGTGCCTTGTAACCGCGCACTGGCGCTGATTCACCCGATCGATGCTGGCGTCGGCGCGAGACTGGCCAACATTTGGCGGGACGGCGCTAGAAACGGCTTTTTTTTTATTTGTCCCGAACGTTGCTGGTACTGCCCAGTGTTTTGTTTTTTATCAGCCAATGACGATTGATAACAGGTGATCGCAAATACTTTTGGTTTTTTTGTTATCTGTAATTGAATTGTTTACACTGTATCGCTTTTTTGTCAAGATTATGACGTTTTATCATATGAAGTTAAGATATTCAATTATACATTGGCTTTCTCGCCCATTATCAAATGGGTAGCCAGAAATAGTATTGAATTTGTTAAAAAAAGAACGCCTCTTTACTTCCTCTAAAATTTTGTTATACAATGCATGCAATGTCTCTAGTGGTTGTAGAAGTGAAATGTTATGTAGCGATTTGATTTAAAAAATATTATGATGAATTTTGATGTGTATAATTTATGTAATATATTTCTCAAAATAATATTTGCCCCGGTAACTTCACAAACTAAACGAAACTCTTCTTTCTCCTGCCCCCATCCAATCTAGGTGGGATCGGCACAATATCTGAATCATGTTGGTGATGGTATTGGCTAGGTTTTGTACGAGCGACAGACTGCCTCACGTAGACCCTTGGGAGCAAACACCCAGAAGCCAATGAAGGATAGGCCAGTGAATAGGAGATAGTAGGTTTCTCTTCACGCCACTCGTTTGTGAGGTCGTGGCTTACCCGGACGAGCTGGCCCATTAGTGAAATAGCACAAGCTGCTGTTGTTGTATAAATGTATACAGTAATTAACAAACCTTACTTTTTATATGAATCAAAAGTAACTTTCGTTATTTGGGGTAAATAATTGAAATGACCATTTTTCATTCCTTAATCAAAACAAAGTAAACAAATTCGGATTCCTTTAAGCAATTAAGATATGATGATGTATATAATAATTATAACCATTATAATAATTGAGAAATACTAAATTCGTTGAGAATGTATCTATTATGTATGTTAGACATTTCTAGAGTTAAACAAAACAACAGAACATATTATGGAAATGCCTACTGATATCAGAGTCAGAGCCATCGGAATCGTCACTGGATTTATCATCTGACTCTGTTACAGATATTATTAACAATGCAATGATTGCATAATGTTGTCGATATGGGTATCATAGGTTGAACCAGACAATGTCTCTGTTTTTGTTTTTTTCACTACCTTCGTCTAGTCTTCCGATAGAACGTTATGGATTGCTTCTTGCAATAGTACCAACATCTTGTTGGCTATGAATGAACGGGCAGTTATTCCTTGCAGCGTGTCCTAGAGACAAAGATAAACTTATGATAAAATGTTACATTTTTATGTTTCTTATAATGAGGCTTTTCATCAAGAGCATATGCAGGAGTCGTTGTGGTCAAGGAGGTGTGTTTTCAATTTGTATTTTATCAATTAGTGTTATACTTTATTTTACACACATTTTACTACAAATCCAAATTTTGAATTCAAAAGAAACAATTTATTCGATTAATGTCAAATTATGGTTTGTGGTAAGATGATCCAAGGAACATATCTCCGTGCCTCCTTGCAAACACAATATTTATCTGCGTATAAAGTGGTGGAACTTTATAGGCCTGATTTGAGTGATAGCTGTCACTCGCACCGATCTAAAAGGTAAATAGTATAAATTTCGAGAATAAAACTGTATTAAGGAATTTCGACCTTTGGGCTACCAGTGTTATTAATAGTATGCAATTAAAGGCCGATTAACTTTCTGATCACGGCTTGTTCTTTTGGAATTCGTCGCTCATCCTTATGAATATTTATATGGTGTGACGTGCTAGACGTTTTACGACATTTGAGTCATATATAGAGAAAGGAGGTCACTATTGCTTTCAATTGTACGGACAATATTAAATACTACCGTAATTGTTTTTGTGAATTCCTTCCTGTTATACGTTTTGGATGGTTTGTAGGTTTATAACGGTTTGGTGTTGGAGTGTTTGTTATATTTTCGGGCGTGATAATATAAACAATTTACCCGGCGGTAAATACACTTGGCTATTTGCGTATTTGGTAATTTGACGACAAGATTTTACCTCGTATTTGCCCCATTTTCGAAACATAAACAATATATACGAAAACTTAAAGTGGAGTCATGAAATTGGAAATGTCTGGTTAAAGATTTATACTGAACTAATTTTATCTATATCTATTTAGAAGTGTGTGTTTGTAATTTCAATAAATTATGTACATTTACATTCAATACATTATGTACATACAGTATATTCGTTTAGTAGCTTAACCAACTTATATACGCCTACTAAGATATGAAGAAATGAAATTCGAAAGGTCTAGTTTTAGATTTCAAGGAGGCTCTATAAGTGGTGGTTTTGGGAATATGTCGAGTTGATTGCCTGTATGCATTTTATTTATTATTGTAGAACATTTTTTTATTTTAGAACATTAATGTTTTAAGTTTTCAGCAAAAATATTTCTATTGGATACAAAATTCAAAATTTAGCCAAAATTTCGCCCTTTTTAAATATAGATATATAAAGAATCAAATTTTACATTCAATTTGCCAGTTATAACGAATTTAATATTTTTAAGAACTTAAAATGTGTAGATAAATTGTCGATATTTTTTTATTAGTTTCTGCGCTTTTTTTTTTCACTTTTCTAGATTTTTGTCGAATAACTTTTTCAACCTGTGCCGTCCGGAGCGTCCAAACGCTTTAACCAGTAAGCGGTATCCTCACTGCGCGAAATTCACATGTCGATGTTGTGATTACAAATAAGGCCTTAACCGGGAATTGTAAGACGACTGGACTACTGACTGGCAAATAATTTTATTAGGTTAACTATCAACGAACTCCGTAACCTCAGCCCTTGATGTGTATCAAATTTACTATATTAAGTTTATTCAGAATTATAAATTTTTACAGTACTAAACTCCGCACTTAGATGAACCGTTAAAATTTGTAGAAAAAGGTACGAAAAGTTTTTTTAGTCGTGGCAATCAGCCGTTTAGTTTAGTGGTTAAAGCGCCAGGACGCGAATGCCGAAGACGTGGGTTCCATTTCCTCAGCGGTGAAACAGTTTTCGTACTGTATTTTTACAAATTTTAAGTTTATTCTGCATAACCTTAAAAAAATCGGTTCTGTCACGACTCCTCACTAAGCGATGCTTATCCTGTGGGAGAAACGAGCAAACGTAGAAAATCTTATACTGAATGAATGTTAGTAATTCTTGCCTTTATGAAAATATGATTTATTTGTTAATAAAGAAGGAAGTGGTATTGCTCGAGTGCAGTTCCATCGCCTAGACATTAGCCTTCAAAAATCTATATCGCTATAATGTCCGTACATTGCAAAGTAGTTGTCGCACTGTAGTCAATTGGGCGCTCGTTTCTGCTGTTATGTAGTATGAATGATACAAAAGACAAGTTGAAGATCAGAAACATTCGTCACTGGAAAGGCAAAATTAAACAAACGCCAAACATTTATTTGGCGGTTAAGTAATTTTGCCTTTCCAGTGACGCAGTACAATCAATTGCTGACGCTACTAAGTAGTTGGGAAGTCCCAATGGGAATATAATGTAACTAATGAAAAGGATATACGTAAATAAATTTCATCAAATATGTACGTACTTACTTAAAATTAAAATGTAAATTTACAAAATAATTTATACCTCATTATAGAGGTAAAAAGAGGAAAATATAACAAATGCATAGTAACAGAGGTACTTCAGTGTCGCTTTTTACTTTTACACTTATCTTGGTTACACTGAGTTTTCATTATAATTTCGTTACTGTCTTCATAATTTTTAATGGATTTGAGGTTATGTAAACATTAAAATATGATACATAAGTCAGGGTCAAGGGTCGTAGGGGGGAACCTTATTGTAATCTTTTATCTTTGAAGTATTTATTAGATAACTAAATTTGAGAGATAATTATTTTAATAAAACTAAAAGAATTTAGAAATGTGAAAGTTGCTGAATAAATATTCAACTACTTTATTAATTGAAACCAAACGTATGGCTAGTCCTATATGAGAATTGAATGAAATATAAAATATTCTTTAACGCATTAGTAATAATATAATTATTTTATAATCATATCATGGAACAGCACATCCTTCTGGTGATAAGTGCGTGAGTACGATACGATCTGGCGATTTTTATGTCACTATTGTTCATATCAATGTTTTTTATAAATAATTCTTTTTCTACGTCATTTTTGTGCCAAGTGTGTTGAATGTAGATCAGTTTGAACACATTGTTATAATTTATTCAACATTAGCACTTGCCAAATCGTAAATTAAGTTCAGATATTATTTTTTTTTATATTTGCTATTTACTCTGAAGAACCTAGGCAACTGAACTGTTTGATTAAAAATAAGCTTTCTAAAATTTATATGCGTTTTGCAGGTTGGTATTGAACACTATCGCGTTTAGAACATTCTTTTTTGAACTCACTACATGCTAAAAAAACTCTTCTCTTAAATTTTTTTTATACTTTCCATGATTTCATTTTGTAATATTTTTAGTTTTGTAATAGACTAAATGTAATAAACTAAATGATTCCAAATATCTTGAATAATCGGATAATTTTATTTTATTTTTTAGTACAATGATGTGTCAACTTCTTCTCTTAGTACAATGATATGTCAAGGACTTAAATGATATCTCTTGTATTTTAAACCCGCAAACGAACGATGTCACTAT